CTAACTATTGTAAACGTAATTCATTATTTCTTAATATGTCCAACTATTAAGGTAAATATTTAATGCTACTTGACAACTGCAGAATTTTTTATGCTCAAACTTATTAATATTGGTTAGTTAATCATTTAGTATATGCCATTACGTAGGGATCGATTTATTTTTAGATGGTATTACAAAGGAAAATTCATGCAATAAATTTTAATGGAATATCGGTTTCCATTTGCTAATGAGTCCTTATTTTTTTCGTGTATGGCCTTGAAAGACTGTAATTTCCGTTGCAAATTATACGCCCTGGAAAATTGCGGTGTGCTTAACTGGAGGATTGTTAAATTGCTAATGTAATTGACTTTACACCTGAAAGAAATTAAATTGGCGACGTTTACTAAGATGTTGGAAGTATGTGCGCCTTGGTTGAATATTTTAAAAGTCGGTATATAAAGGTTCAGCAATTCAGTAAATCACTAATAACTCATCGTCATTAAAATAGCAAAGAAAGCACTCCAAAAAAAATATGATTTGAAATTTAAGTTAGGATGGAATCAATGTAAATATATGCTCATAAGAAAGTAATTAAACAACTCACACAAACACAATTTTATACCTGTGGATAAAGATCGTGGCTAATCGGCTAACTTGCAAAGTGAACTTTTGCGGCAATAATTGCAAATGCGGCAGTGGGCAACGGGAAGAACTCTGAATAAAACAATTGTGAGGCGGGTCGCCATTCCAACCAATTGTATAAAACAGAAATCCATTGGAAAAACTAGGTTCAAGATCAATCAAAGCAATCAGCAATCAAACGCCAGTTCACTGATGATTATAGAGGCAAAAAGAATTGTGGGAATGAACATCAATCCATCAATAAAATTACGCACTCTCAGATCCTCAAACCGGTCACTCTAGTATGACTGAAAACTTGGTATTTTTACTCTACTACTACAAAACACAAGGAAAGTACGATACGAAATAATCGCATCAAAGTTTTTGGAAGATGAAAGGAAATTATGATTTGGAAAGATTGAACTCACGGAAAATCTGTAGAATAAGATTCAGCATCCAGAAAGAACAAAGACATAAACCTCATCATCATTAATTAGCAAACAAAGAAATACACCAAATAAAATTAATGGTCAAAACCTTAGAGGTGAGCACGAAGAATAGAAAAAAAAAGAAGTGCTATACGGTGAACATCTGACTGACGGGCAACGGGTTTCAGAAAATATCGGAGCTCCGCAAATAAACAAAAGTCCAAGTAAGCTTACCGATTATACAACAAAGCCAAAGAATTAGACACATTTGGCTAATAACAGGTTTATATAAATAGATAGTATATTCTATCTATTTATAGAACCTTGTGTTTGTAGCTATTTAGCAGGGATGTAAATGATGAAATCCATGTTCTCTCATACGCACCGGAAAATGCTACAGGCTAGTTGTAAAAGGGTTCAAAATTTTAATTCATTTTTTGCTCTTCTACTGTCTTCACAAAGTTTATAGTACATGTTAACCCTCCCACCCCGAAAAAAACTTAGTATTTGAAAACACTGAAAAATATCAATATGTTTTTAAGTATCTTTGCTCTGAAGCAAGGATGGCACAATTTGTAAGCACTTAAAAGGGAATCCTAAGTTCAGTTTTTATTTTGGAAAGGGTCAGATGATAGTTTTATATTTTAAACTGGAACGTTGTGATTGAATATACTATCATAAGATGTTATAAGTCTTATTTTTATGATTTGTAAACCATAAACTACTTTGTTGTTAGTTTTAAAATATTATGAGATAAATGAGCTTTAAAATATGAAGTGCCTACTTCATTTATTGTTTACTTTAATTATTTTTTATTAAATTAATTTATATTAAATATTTATTTATAACGATTTGATTTATTAGAGAATCGGAGGATTACTTGTAGAAAAGGAAAACAGTTTCATTCAAGAACATTCAATACATTTATGTAGATACTGAGGCAGAATTTTCTTTTCATTTAATACACAATATGATAACATAAGCAAAACAAAAAGTTAATTAACATTTCCACCCTTCTGCCTTTTCTCTGATAGATTCAAAACAACCCCCCAAAAATCAATTATGTGATCCAATTAATACAAAATAGATATATTTTAATATAATCAAATCAGCTCCTAGCAAAATATAATAACTGGTACCTACAAGCTCAAAGTTTAATAAACAATAACCTCAAAAAAATTCTATATTTCTTTACCTGCACATATACAGGAAGGGAGATAAGATTTAAGTAACATCAAACAAAAATATGCACAAAATTAACACTTTTGTTTAAATTTATTTCACATTAAATCAATACTTTTCTTTTATAGAAAGCATTATTATAAAAACTTTTTTAAAGAAAATAAAGCTAATTTTCCATTAATGTGACTATTTACAAATCAATAAAAAACTCTGATATAACTAAAATATACATCTAATGTTCAAACACTATGCATGTTTTATTCAAATCTGCCACACACACAGCATATTTCTACGGGTACACTTTTTTATGTATATATATAAAAATTTTTGCAAAAGGTTAAGGATTAATACCTTTCATTGCTTTTGCTTTTATAAGATTCAATATTTACATATACTTAAAACACATGTAACACAGTTGACATATTCAGTACTTAACTCATAACATGTAAGCATATTTTTTGCATAGTTCCTGTGCTGAAATACTTGTCAAAATAAATTCTATCATCTAAATTTAAATATCAGCAAAGCTTTTACCAAACATTACCAATATTTAGTAAACTTTTATCAATAATTTTCCAAACTTTTACTAATATTTTACCAATACTTAGCAAACTTTTACCAATAATTTACCAAATTTTTACTAATGTTTTACCAATATTTAGCAATATTTTACCAAAAAACACCACCAAAACTTTTATCAATATTATCAAGACTTCAGCTACTGACCAAATAAACAGCAATATACTTATAAGTAGAGCATAATTAAAAGGTCCTTCTGTTCCACAATGATAAGTATGTTCCAAACATACTATATACAAAGAAGAGTTTTAACGGGATGTTGACTGTGTGTAGAATGGCATAAATGACTGAAAATAATATATACTATCTTGAAAAAAATATGATTTCTGAGATGATGAAATACTTTATATAGTAGTTGTTGACAGCAGATCATTCAAATGGTGGGTATAAAACAAAGTCTGTATGCATCATTAACTTATAACCACTAGTTTTATAAAACCTTTGATTAATAAATAGCATTTTAATCATAAAATGCTGATAACACATACAGTGTGACTGGCACCATGACTTAATGGTTAACTTCATCTCGCATGGAATTGATACGTGCACAAACTTTAAGAGCAGGGCCCAATTTCATACTCATGAGGCTCATGAGATGATCTTCTTTCAGAAGTAAAAGTGCCTGACCATCAATTTCTTGAGCTCGAAATTCATCTGCATAATCCGAGCAACGGCATGCGGCAGCACAAAATCCACAACAGTACCTATAAAAAAAAAAAAAAAAAACAGATATGCTTAACACAAAATATAAGCTTCAAGGGAGAATATTCAATTTAGAGATGATAAACTAGAACAGTGTTCCCAGGTCACTACACTGCAAAAAAAAAAAAAAAAAAAAAAAAAAAAAAAAAAAAAAGAAGAAGAAAGGGCGTTCTTATCTCCGTCTACTGGGCCGATTGATGAAATTCAAATTGCGTTTTTCATGTCTTGAAAGCGTGACTTAAGATATGTATTAGATTTACACATAGCATTGTTCGAATATACGCACTTTGGCACAAACTCGGACTTTTTCTGAGTGACATCCCAATGTTTTTAATATTTCCATTCTACGACTCAAATTACGCCAAACTGCCAAGTTTTGCAAAAATCGCACAAGCAGTTTTTATACAATTAGCTCTCAAAATTTTAGCTCCTCCATGTTAATTTTGGTATATAGGATTTATTAATCTTTTTTTATTAACTTATTTGATTCTTCCTTCACATTCGAAATTCAAGTTCTTTCCAATAAAATTACCCATTTTTATGATTTCTTTAAATATTTTTATAAATTTTTCAAAAAAAATGTTGAATTATAACTATAAAATTTTACCATCTTTTAACGAGACGTATTCTAAGCATAACGGAAAAAATTACCTTTTTTATTCAAATTTCCCGAAGACAGCGGAATTTATATACTGGCATGTTTGAATTGGCATATTTGTGAAAGCGATAAAACATCAAATGTGGTTTAGACACTGTGCTAACATTATTTGAAAGTAGGAATGATGCAACTTTCTGTTTTCCGCTCATGCACATTGTAAAAAAGTAGGAACGGGATGCCTTTTTTTCCACTCCGGGATAATGGAAGAAAAGGAAAATGGGTTGACATATATTAAGAAGTCCCTTAAGTAAATTTTTCTTTGCCAAACTGAAAAAATTTCACCAAGATAAATCTGTGAATTTCTCTGTAAATTTCAAACCAAATTTGACAAAATTTAATATCTAGGCATAATTTGAGTTGTAGAATCAAAATATAGAAAACAAATTGGCATGTTATTTCAGAAAAAGTCTGATTTTGTGTCAAAATATCTATGTTAGAACAATGCTATATGTAAATCTAATATATATCCTAAATCGCGCTTTTGAGACATGAAAAACGCAATATGAATTTTGTCAATCGGCCCAGTAGAATGGAAGATAGAGAACCGTCCCCCCCTTTTTTTGCATGCAGTGTACAGCATAGATTTCACCCACTGAATTTGCATTTTAGTATTAAACAGCATTATAATAAAAGCAATAGATTTCCTCCCCCCAGAGAACATATAATTATTTTTTCTTTATTTCTTATCAGAAAAGTTTGCTTGGTACACACAGTTTGGTATGTGTCCAAGGATCTAGTATGGACTAATTATGTATCCTGAAGTATCGCTGCAATGGTTAAAAGAAGCAAATACTAAATATAAATTCATTAGGATAAACAGTTAACACAAATATGAGGCACATAAGAAATACATTAACATTCATACCGTCCATTTGAGAGGAGACTTAGTAGCAAATTCTGTTACTGGCTTGGTAATTGGCTCTATTGGAGTGGCTACAGCTGGTGGAGGAGGAGGAGAAGGAGGAGGAAGAGGTGGAGCAGGAGCAAGAGGTGCAGGGCAAGGAATTTCACTGACACATGGCACTTCTTGTATATCTTCTTCTACCTCGGGAATTTCCATACTTTGCTCCGTGGGTAAGTCAGTTTCAATGACAACTTCAGTCTGAACATCACGCCTTTCTGGAACCTTTTAAAACGATCAGATATTTGGACAAAACAGTAAGTACATAAAGAGTTATCAATTCAGTAAACTTTGTAAACAACATAACAATGTGCTAAAATTTTACTTTAAGAAATGATAGCTTCGAATAAAGAAACACCAACATTATACATAATAATACAGTAAAAGGCTGACTACCTGTCATTCAGCTAACCAGAATACAATTGTTTTCAAAGTATTCAGGTTTACACTAACCAAAATACTTTTTTTTTTTATCATATATATGGAGTTTTCTTTATTTATCAAATGTTGTAACTTCCAATCACATATGTAGTAACTGTAGCTTGTGTTGATTGACAGTTGATTAATTTATTAGAAGGGGCAGGAGTTATCTTTAAAAACTATTTTGGTATGTCATAGTTAGAATTTTAGAAACTTTTTTAAAACATAAAATTAAGGTATTTATAACTCCACTATTATGCATGAATACGATTACAATTCAAATTGAACAAAAATTGTTGCCAAACAGTGTGAATAAGTGTGACATAATACTTTGACTTGCATTAATAATTCTTTAAGTCAGTTTAATTTTTGTAAAAACCAATATAAGTTAACTGCTTTTTTATCTAAGCAGAAAAGAAACATGCCAAAGTGAAACATACATTAGCAAGAAACAACCTTGTGTTTGTCATAGATTTAGTCAAGAACTCAGTTGAGTTCTTGACTAACATACATTTACGCATGTGCGTTTAATGTATAACGGAGGGTATTATCTAATTATCTATTTCAGTTAATGTTGCAGATTGCGTTGTTCCTTAATCTTTGAATTAGATCTGGCTTATTATTTTTTGCAGATTGTTAGAGCAATTTTTATAAAAGTAAGCTTGAACTTTCGATTATGTCAATAGAATTTCTGATGCTGGAGCTCCTAAAGATCTACAAGCGAAGTATATTAGATGTCCATCAAAAAAGGAATGCTGCAAAAAATGGGTAAAGGGCATATCCTTCATTTCTCTAACCATCCAAATCTTTTTATCATTTGACGCTGCTCTGCGGCCGGGGGGGGGGAACGCCACGGCACACAATTATTGGAAGTTGATCTGTCCACTATCTTATCTTCAGGCAGATTTTTTTTATTTGGCTTAATTCCTTACTAAATGTAGATTTCATCTTGATGTACTCCGCCTTTGATATGATTTAAATCAAATTCTTCATCATTATAATTCGCTTCCAATATGAGAAGTGAAAACACAGAGGTTATTGAAAACGAAAAAATTTGATTGACAAATTAGTTGGTATTCTTGAAACAGCAATTATAGGATGAAGAGTTGGAACTTTGTAACTGAACAAGAAAATATGTCTGTTATAGAATTAAAGAGAAAGTATTATCAATTAACGAGCACTTAACACTTATTGAAAGGAATGTTTAATAAAGAAACAAATAATATTAAGCTTTTTTTTTTTTTTTGTAAATTTTGATACTTTTAGATCATAATTGTTCTTTATTTCAAAATTATGGTCATATTTTAATTTTATAATTTAATGCATTCCCAGATTAACTGATGATCTATAATCCGGAATCGCCGAAGTCACGACAAGTCCGGATTAACGACTTTTGACTGTATTACGATTCTGTTGCATTGTAAATATTATAGAGAAAAATATAACTGGTTGTGCAAGAAAACTATTCTCTTTAAAAGTTTGAATGCAAGAAAAAGGGTGAGAAACCCTGGCCAATACATAGCATATTCCTACAGTTTTTTAATAAATGCTACTACTTTTTGTATAATAATAATAAAACTCAACTTTTCAGACAAAAGTTTTCTCTTTTATTGAGATTTGGATAAAACACTTAAAACTAACAACAGATCAAAAAAATTTCCATCTCTACATATAATAAAATGAAGAGTCTGTCTGTGTAGGTATGTGTCTTTCCTTTGTGCTGTGCATAAGCTAATAGACCCAGGGCTACGAAATTTGGCACCTGGGTGCATCTAGATAAGAACCAGCGCACTTCAAAACGATTTTTTCAAAATTCAAATGAGATTTTTTAAAATTTTATGTTCTCTGATCAAATCTCATCCAATCTATAATTCTCTCTCATTATATCAGCAACAATCGCACACAACCGTTGTTGCTGAATGAACACCCACTCAGAAAAATGAGGGCGATAATTCTGTGCAGTTTTTAAATTTAGTGCTTCTCATGGATACTAGGTTGCAATTCTTAAGATTTTGCAATGGGAAGTTGGTTAATTTATTTATCAGATTAATTAATATTTTTATTAAGGGAATATTGCTATTGTAATTTTGTTATATGCAATATATTTTTTTAAATAGAGTTGTTCTGCAGATTAAAATTCTGTGCAGTTTTTGAATTTAATGTCTGGTGTTCCCTTTAGGCATTTTTCCCGTAGTATAAAAATGACCAATAACTATGAAATTAGTAGAAAGATACACAGGTATCAAAAGATAGAAATTAGTAGAAAGATACACAGATATCAAAATTAGAGTGCTACTCGCATATATACATACCCATTCCTTATCTTCATATAATTTAGTTTCAGATTTCTTCCAACTTCTTTTGGATTTCAAACCAAGTTTCTTTTTCTTAGATTTTCCTCCTATTGGTGATTTTTGAATCTTATTATTGTTGTTATATTACATTCATACATTCATAGAAAGAAATATTTCACACTTCATTAAAAACATCGTAAAAAATTTATATTGCATACAGCACTTAACGTGTAGAGTAAACCCTTGCTGAACCTGGACTTGAGAAACATGATTTTACATATATGCTTTTTCTTAATTGTTTCCATTTAATTTGTCCAACATGAGTATTTTAATTATATGCAGTACACTGTAGAGCATCAGCCACATTGTGATAACAGATTACACTTTGCTAAACTTCAGGTGTACAACTAGGTTTACTCTTCTGACAAGAAATCTTTCAAGATATGGTGCCACTGACTCAGAAATCTGCCCATAAGCAACTATTTCTTTTGTGTCTTTGTTTTGGTCAATTTCTATGAGTCACAGGACTCGATCACTTAAAGGAGCATAATCTTATTTGCCTTAGAAGGTATTTCTCCCACCTTCTTAGCATGTCTTCGTAGACCCTTTTTAAATGTCCAGTTTAAACCTTTTTAAATGTCTAGTTTAGTTTTTAAATGTCTAGTTTAACCCATTTTATCCACAGAAAGTTAACTTTGCAGAATGCGATTCTGCAATCCACGCAATGTGTCAATGATGCAACATCAGTGTTCAACAAGGGTTTACTGTATTATATATATATATATCTAATATATATATATATAATAAATCACTCAATAAAAGATAAATTTGTCAAAGAAGGTCAAAATAGATTATAAAAATTGCCAACTGAAAGAGAAATGTCACACAGTGTGGGATTAATCTCAGACGTATTGTCTCTGTAGCATCTGCAATTGTTGGTCATTTCATTGAAAGCATGGGTAATCACTGCAAAGTTTGTAAGATGGTACAATGTAATCAAATAATTTATTAATATAAGTTATTATTTGTTTGAATTTAGTTTCAAACATCAAATTTTTAATGATCCAAATGTGACATCATCACATCGTATGTGGAAATTCAATATTGCTTTTATCTTTGTGAACAATGCCTGTTTTCTTCATGCTTAAACATATTTGCCACCATCCTGTGCAATTTGATGTTAATCAAAACTTTACTTTTCCATTTTTTAAAAATTTTACTATTATATTAACTTTGAAAGTCAGCTTATTAAACTTAAAATTGCCAATTTTCTAAGTCCCCTCACACATGTAAAATTATGTCTTTAGAAAGGGGTGAGAAGATCTTTTAACGAGTTTGGCGACGGGGGCCAAGGAAAAATATAAAACTGTGCAGTCGAGTGCCAAACTTGAGCAGAAATCTGTTGGAAATTATTTCCAGATAGTACTGCATTAAAAAAAATTTAAATATGCATATTTTTAACATATGATTGGAAATTTAAATTTCAGATAAAACTTTAATAAATCTTAATAATGTAAAAAGAAACTCAATTAAAATTTTAAGTACAATTTAAACACATTTTGGATGCTAACAAGAAGGATTGCGTAAAAAAAATATTTTTCAGTATAGCAAATGAAGTATGCATAATAATTCCTGCAGCACAAGTACACAAAAGTACTATATTAAATTATAAAGAATAAAAATTTAATGTGTAATGTGTTCTTTCACTCTTGAAAGTTAATTTCATTTTAGAAGCATAAAATTCTCCCTCTTAAAAAATAAAAATAATAATTAAAAATTAATAAATTAAAAAAAACAGCAACTCATAATAAGATATTCTGAAAAGCAATTTTCAGAATATTTTATTACGAGTAGTAAATATTACAAAAAACGTGGCTTATACACCTTGGCAACAAATTCTAATCACAGATTCAGCCAAGGACTGCCAATCGCTATAAGCATAGATGAATATATACTAAATTTTACACAAAAACAAGATCAAAGATTAGAGCATAAAATTGGTTACAACAAAGTTGCAAATATTCGTAACAAATATCAACTGAATGATATATTGTAAATTAAATACATTTAAATTTATAACAATAAAATAAAATTACAGAAAGAATAAGATCCTATATTTTAGTGGAGATTGACTAAAAGACTTGGTGAGACTAGGAAACCTGGAGACTTGGTACACTGACGAGCCAAAACATTATGACCATCCCCACATTTTTCAATGAACTGATCTGGATGATGTGGAGGGCACACATCCAGATGAGTGGGGATTCTATTTATCTGCTGCTCGAGAATTTAAGGAATCAGCCTAGCACATACTTTTGCAAGTGATGGGAAGGGCTGCTTATCTAAGTGAATTTGATAGAGGGAAGATTAAAATTACCGGAAGACTCGGAATGAGTATCACTCAAACTGCAGAAGTGGTAGGTTGTTGTTAGTATTTATGCAGATAAATGACGGTGAAACCAGCAGAACGTGTTAAAAGTATTGGATGTCCATGCATCATCAAAGAAAAAGGACATCAGAGACTGACTCACTTGGTATAACAAAATTGACACCAGACAATGGCTCAGTCATCATCAACTATGCCTACAGTGGACTCAGGAACACCGACACTGGACTATACATAAGTTGAAGACAATGTAATGGAATGTGTAAGAAATGTGGGATAGTTAATCTGTAATAATGACCTCCACACATCATTTGGCCAATGAACTGCGATGAAGAGCTATTGGGAGACTATTGGCAGGGTAAAGTCAGACAGAAGTGGCCAGAGGGCTAAACGGAGTCTTAGCCTCACCTTGGCTCTGTGGCTCATACATCTTGGCAACAATTTCTAATTACAGATTCAGCCAAGGATGGCCAATCGCTACAAGCATAGATGAATGATATTTGTTATTATTTGCCCAAAGGAATAGAATTGCAACTATGATTCATCTCAGACAATCCCTTGCTGCAATCACCAGAGGGATGGTGTCAACATAAACCATGTGTAAAAGGCTTCACAAAGAAGGTCTGCATATGAGGTGACCAACCATTTGCCTGTCGCTCATGCCACGTCACATAAGGGAATGTTTGAGTGTGCACGTCAATATGTCACTGGACAACTGATCAACGGAGGGCTGTTCTCTTTACGGATGAGTTCAGGTTTAGTCTCCAAAGCGACAGTACACATGATTTGATTTGGATAGAACCTGGAACCCGTTAGCATCCATCAAACATCCGTGAAAGAAATGCATATGGAGGAAGCATTATCTGTGCTTGTGGTAGTATCTCTTTGGGTGGACACAAAAGATATCCATGTCTTTCCACGTGGAGCCGTGAATGCTCAGTCTATAGAGATGACATTCTTGATGCTTAGGTGCAACCTTATGTTGGGGCAATAGGTGATGATTTTCTGCTACAGGACAACAATGTTATACCGCACAGGGCTCCCATTATGGATGATTATCTACAGCAGCAAACAATTTAGTACAAAGAGTGGCCAGCTCGATCACCAGACCTGAATCCTATGCATGTTTGAGATGCTCTAGAAAGACTAATAGTTGCTTTCATTCCTCCTCTTCATACCTCGCTTCTAGGGAAGATCATATTCCATTTATTTTCCTATACCAAAATGGCACATCCAAATTGTTCATTTTATACTTATGCTAATTTCAATAGCACCATAATTGTCTTGTAAGTTCTTTTCATGTTATTTTATACCTTTACTAGGTGTTGTACACTGTGGGTCAGTTTCATTACATTCTACATGTAACTTTTTGAGTAACTATCATTTTTATGATTTTTCCTTAATTGAGGATAACCAGTGTAGTAAGAATGCTTTCACAACATCAGCATGCAATACATGCATGATAACATAATGTCCCAAAATTTCAATTTAATCATTTAAGAATCTTTCTAACATCAAGAAATAAATTCCATCCTTTTCACTTTCTTAAATACAAAAACATAGCACAATAAATTGATCTAACTTGCCTTTTTTACTGCTTCCTCTTCTCTTGTGCCTTTTCGCCTCTTCTTCTTAAAATAAATAAACAATTTATATATATATAATTAAGTAAGTTTTAATAAGTACATTTAATGTAATATAATAACATATTCAAATTTCTATAAAAATAAAATTATATTACTTTATAAAAAAACTTTTGCTACTCTGTAATACATAAACAGTAGTATCGAATATCCTACAAAGCTTTTCTCTGTGCTTTATGCATAAAATGGCAACTACAATAAAAATATACGATATCTACAAATCCCCTGAACAACTTTACTGTTGTAAGCACTCTGCAAGACCTAGTGCTATAAATTTTTGTAGTGTTATTATATGTACATCAAAGTTTTTTCCCAACAATTTGTTTGGCTTAATATACATCTAATGTGAGGGTTTGGGGATACAAACATCCTCGTCACAAGTGAGTTGAAGTGGGACAACCAGAAATTGGATTGTTTATGGTGAGATGCTACATGCCAAGACTTCAGAGTCATTTTCCGTCAATGAACAAATAAGAAAAGCCAGGGTTTATCTCGATACACTGATTTATTACATTTGTCAATATGTGGTGGTAAAAGCAGAAGTATTTTTTTTTTTTTTTTTTTTTTTTTTTGCATTTCCAGGTTACGTAATTTCTTCGCAAAACCTTACTCGTGAAAGTGCGACCAGTACCAAAAGTTCCATTCCTCAAAAAAGCTGTTAAGAGCCATTCCCACTGGGGTTTATATGAGCTAAGAGTCAATTCCATGTGTCGACCAGCTCCGCTATGCCTGCAGTTCAGGTTTTTTAACTTGCTGCACTATTAGGAACTGTTGAATGGGTTCGGGTTGTTAATGTCTTGTTAGCTCCAAATCCCGGGGAATGTCTTTAAAGTTCTTCAGAGACTTTATGGCCACCCCATATATAAATAGAATAACAGTTACAAAAAAAGAACTATTAAATAATAGGGTTGGAATTTTTAGTACTCTGTGGTTTGTAACACATATCAAATGATAAATATAATATCTTGAAATAATTATACTTAGTCAACACATTAGTTATTGTCTTTCACTGAAACCTTTTCATTTCATTTCTAATTTTTTTATTTAATTATTATCTAGGCAACTGAACTATCGCATCAAAATTTTAAAATCTATTAGAAATTATTAATAAATATTAGAAATTATTAATTATTATTATTATCTATTAGAAATTATTAATAAATATTAGAAATCCATTAGAAAAATAAATCAAACTTTTACATAGGCAACATTTATAATTTCTCCAGCAATCATTACGTTAAAACATCTATCGCAACTCAATAAAATGCAACTCATTTGCATAAGAAACTATAAAATCAACTCATTCGTCATACGAAAAATAATAATGAGATAGATACACATAATATCTTAATTTTTTTTCTTTGTGCTCTCTTTTTTTACAGACTGTTGTGAATAAGTCTGGATAAAAGGTTTGAGATTTAAGTTGAAAATTTAATACATCAAATTTTATGTAGACATAATACTATGAAATTTTATTTGTGTGCATAATTACTTATTTTTAGAAGAAAATATTTTGTTAATTTCATATTTCATAACAACATTTTGTTATGATATCTTAATGCAATTCAAAAGATAGCCCTGAAACTATATAAAAATTAGTTTGATTAATAGTCTTTATATTCTTTATAGTAAGCAAAACATATACGGACTTAAAGCCTAGTTTTGACCGAGAGGACTCCAAATATGTTAGAAGCCTATAACTGTTTGATCAAGCATATGTTTTTGCAGCATCACCCTTTATTATATTGTATCAATTTAAAAATATGAAATTAAGCCACTTACAAATTGGCAACGATGTAAATTTTTTACTGAAGATTTATTTTGCAGTCTTGAGCGAGATGTTACCATCTTTCTACGGGTAATGTTTATGAAGAGACTTGAAATGGGTTATGTTTCTTGTCATATCTAACACCCACAGACCTGCTACTAATTCGTTAAAAGTAATTTGAGTCAACAGACTTCTGCCGCTATTCCACAAAGATACTAAACTCACAAATGTCTACACTTTGTTTGAGATTCAAATTCAAAGGCAGTTGTAGTCAGCATCTGTAATCTACTATACCATTTGGGGAAGCTTAATTAATGAAGAGCTGCACTCTTATACGAACAAAGTACACTGCGCAAAAAACAAATGGCACAGTTCTATATCTCCCGTCTACTCAGCCAATTGACAAAATCAAAATTGCATTTTTCATGTCTCGAAAGCATGACTTACGATAGGATATACAGTCAAAAGTCTTTAATTCGGACTCGTCAGGACTTTGGGGATCCCGGATTATCGGTTTTTCCAAATTATAGATCATCAATTTAAATCTGGTAAGATGGCATGCAGAAATTATGAAATTAAAAATATAAAGCCGTAATTTATGAAATAAGAGCAATTATTTAAAGGGTATCAACATTTACAAAAAAAAAAAAAAAAAAAAAAAAAAGCTCATATTTATTTGTTTACTTTATTAAAATTTCTTTCAAAGCGCGCATGCGTAAAGCTCATTACACATCGTCGAAATTAGAAATTGCAACCAGAAAACTATTTGATGTGTAATCGTGATTTTATAATGACGAGGAATTTGATTTAAATCATATCACAGACGGAGTACTCAAGATGAAATACTACATTTGTAGGATTATAGCTGAATAAATAAACATCGCCTGAGATTAAGGATAGTCTGACAGATTAACTTCGAGTTCATTGCGGGCCGCGACGTTTCCCCCTTCCCCTCCCGCAGAGCAGCGTGAAATTGATAAACAGATTTCGGAATGGTTAGAGAACCAAAGGATATGCCTTTATCTATTTTTTGCAGCGTTTACGTATTCCACTTTTCGTTTTATGGACATCGAAACATGCTTTCGCTTTGTAGATAGATCCTTTGGCAGCTCCAGAATCAGAAATTCTATTTGACATAATCCAAAGTTCAAGCTTACTGTTATAAAATTGCTCTAACACTCTGGAAAAAATAATAAGCCGGATCCAATTCAAAGATTAAGGAACAACGTAGTCTTCAACATTAACTGAATTAGATAATTTTAGCTTAGCTTATACCGTCTGTTATACATTAAATGTGCATGCGTAAACGTATTATGCGCACGCACATGCGCATACGTAAACGGCTGTGCATATGCATGAGCGCATTATGCGTTGACGCATGCGCAGAAAGTTTGTAGCTTTGAGGTCCGGATTATAGATCATTGCGGACTATGGGTGTCCGGATTAATGACTTTTGACTGTATTAGTAGAACCTGTGTCCCTGTGCAAAAAAAAAAAAAAAAAGGGACAGTTCTGTTTCTCCCATTCTACTAGGCCGATTGACGAAATTCAACTTGGGTTTTTCATACCTCAAAAGTATGACTTAAGATATGTATCAGATTTATATATAACATAGTATATGTATTTTGACATAAAATCGGACTTTTTCTTAAATAACATACTAATTTTTTCATACTTCGATTCTACAACCCAAATTTATCTTTACGTCTTTTTTTCAGATTGCGCCAAGAATAATTCACTTGCTGAACTTAATATATGGCAACCTATTTTCCTTTCGCTTCCATTATGCCAGAGCAGAAAAAAGGCACCTTGTTCCTACCTTTTTACATTATGCATGAGTGGAAAAAAAGTCACTTAGTTCCTACTTTCAAAGAATTTTAACAAAGTGTCTAAACCACATTTGATGTTTTATCGCTTTCAACAAATTTGCCGAATTTCAAAACCTGCCAATGTATCAATTCACATATATCTTCAGAAATTTTGAATAAAAAACTGTAATTTTTTGCAGTTACACTTAGAAATACATCTACTTTAAGATCATGGTAAAAATTTTACACATTATAATCCAAATTTCTTTTTCAAAAAATGTTATTTAAAAGTACAAATTTTTAAAATAAATCATAAAAAATATATGAATTTTATTTAAAATGAACCTGAATTTCAAAATGGGAAAAGAAGAATCAAATAAGTTTAATAAAAGAAGAGAGATTAATAAATATATACCAAACTCAATTAACATGGAAGTGCTAAAATTCTGAGATCTAATTTTTTAAAAACTGCTCGTGCGATTTTTACAAAACTTAGTAGTTTGGCGTAATTTGAGTCGTAGAATTGAAATATGGAAAAACATTGGCCTGTCATTCCAGAAAAAGTCCGATTTTGTGTCAAAATACCTATATTAGACCAATTTTAACAAATATGTATATACGTAAAAAAGCAAATTTAAAGTTCAAATAATGTGCAAACATATAAAAGATTTCATTTTCGAACTAATCTACAATATCATTTTAATTCAGATAGCATAAGTAAATCAAGTACAAAACCAAAAACATGAAAATAAATTCACCAATTTATCAAATTAAGATTAATCTAAAAAATTCTTTTGAAACAATTATATTAGACCAATGCTATATACTATAAATCTAATGCATATCCTAAGTTGCACTTTCGAGACATGAAAAATGCAAGTTGAATTTCATCAATCAGCCCAGTAGAACGGGAGATATAAACTGTCCCATACAATTTGATGCAAAATTCATGAAGAGAGACTATATGAATAACATATAGAGTTCTTTCTGAAGTCCTCTGTCAAAATTTTTATCAGTTGCAAGTCTAAAGAAGGAATGGATATGAAATGCCACTGATTATTCAAAAGTTTCTTTTATCCTTTTATCAGCAGCTAGATAACAGACATCTGGTTATGAATGACACAAAAATATTTACTTCATTCTGCAGTATTTCCTAAACCAAACTGGATTTGTATGGGCAATATTTATGCAGCATTATTCTATTTTGGAACTAAGGATGAGTACTTGTTTATTTAGTACCATAGGATAAATATGGTCTTTCAAGATATCCAGTTTTGTTCAGACTATAACTAAACTCTTGCAATAATTGATATTTTAGCTAAATTTTAATTGCAACTGGTTAATGATGCTCCAGTAAAAAACAAGTTTTAATTGTGGTGGTAGTAATTTGCCTGAGCAAGACATGGTTGGAATAATTAATTAAGGACTAGTCAACCCATTGTGAACAGTCTTTGCATATGACAAGGGGCTTAGAGAATCCAGATCACAGATGGGCCTCTTTGATTCACAAATGAATTCTAATAGTCAAAATGGCATGGATACCTTAAACACCTAACATTTAACTCTTGTAATAAAGTCCTAATTATCACATAAAATCCTAAATTATAAAAACAACTTATAGGTACCCACATGCTTGTGTTTCTCATTTAAAAATAAGGAAATGCACACAGAATGATGTGCCATACATATCAGATCGTCTGAATGATTCCTTTGTCTGCAGCCACCTTGATTTTTGCCTAGAATGATGTGCCACATATAAAAGATCATCTGAATGATTCTTTTGTCTGTGGCCAGACTGATTTTTGCCTAGAATGATGTGCCAAATACCTCAGACTATGTGAGTCATTCTTTTGTTTGTGGCCAGCTTGATTTTTTTCCTAGAATGATGCCAACAGGCTACATCAGATAGTCTTTTGTCTGTGGTCAGCTTGATTTTTGCCTAGAATGACATGGCAGATACCACAAATTGTCTGAAATAATCTTTTGTCTGTGACAAGCTTGATTTTTGCCTAGAAAGATGTGAAAAATACAACAGATTGTCTGAATCATTCTTTTGTCTGTGGCTACTTTGATTTTTGCTTAGAATAATGTGCCATATATATCAGATTATTTGAATACTTCTTTTGATTGTGGCCAGCTTGATTTTTGCCTAAGATCCTAAGCAAAAATCTTTTTGCCTAAGGGGCCAAATACGCAGAAAGAAAAAGAACATTAGAGGGGGAGGTACAAGGGAACAGCATGCCTAGGGCTCCAGTCTTTCTTGATCATATCTTACCAGTGGAAGAACACCAAATCTCCATTATACTCTAATGGTTGCAAAATACTATGTAAACTGTGACATTAATGGAAGTAAACATAAGAAAATGCAATCAAGTAAATCAGTGATGTTAAGCTCCCAAAGAAAATTTCAGTATTAATTGGATCTTCCTTATTGGCATTTAACAATACTATCAAGCCTGATTTTTTTTTCTTTTCCTCAGCATTCAATTATGCCAATCTATTCTCTGCCTGCAGTACTTTCATTCTGAGACAATGCAATGCTCTTTTTCATATTTGCCTACAATTTTCCATATTGTACTTCTCATAAGACCATTTCTATACATTTGATCGTAACAATTTGCACAAGACATATTCAATAATTCTAACTTTTCTGAAATTCACTTGAGAGTTGCAAAAAATTTCAAAAACTGTAGACTGCAGTGAACTGCATAAATTCATTCAATATCACTATAAATAATTGACAGCTTACATTCTAACTTACTACTATACATATACAGGGTGTTCAGGATAAATTTGACATATTTATAATTGATTGTATTTTTCTGTAGGTTGGAGGTATTGACACACACTACTCGTCATTTAAAAGTTTGAATCCTTCTTCATTCATATACAAGATGTCAGAAAGGATGGATGACTGGAACCCACCTGAATCTGGAAGATAAACTTGCCTCATGATGATTTGTGCCGGCCATCAAATAAGGATATTTGACTGTGCCCATGCTCCCTTAACACAGTAAAAACAATCAGGCATACTAGACTTGCAATAGGCTACGAGGAGCGCCACCACCAAAAGTCAAATGATTGTCTGTTTTCTACTACGACTTACGTCCAGATACCCAGTTATTATTTTGATGGGGCACATTGAAAAAGACAACCAAGCATTTCAGTAATACAAAAGCCTAGTTAATGGATAATTAACGTTTTTGAGGCCCTGCCAGGAGACTGTAGCATCAGTGTTTGGGGTTCGAAGCAAGGATTGAACTGGGATCGTTGCTAATGGTGGTTATTTTGAGTGAATGATTGATAGTATTGTAATTACTCGGCCTGATTTTTTTTTTTTTTTTTTTTTTTTTTTTTTCTCTTTCCCTTTATAGATACAAAGCGGATTTTCTTTTTCCTTACGAAACTGTCAAATTTATCCGGAACACGCTGTAGTGCACTTCATGATATTGCAAGCTCAGTTCAGTTATCTTTTTCAATCATATCTTTACAATTGCTGCTATTGTTATTTAGTCTATCACAGATACCAGAGCAAAAAATATATATATAATATTTACATGTAATAAAAATATGAAAAATGACTGATAGCTAACCAGATTTTTGGCCCCGACTGTGCAAAATAATTGCAAATCTTTTTGAACAATGAACATTAAAACGCTTGGCACAAGATGTAGAGCAAAATCGCTTTGAACGTTTAAACTTGGATTTTGGTCCAAGTTTGCCACAGAATTCACATTTTGCCAATTCTACCGGGCCTCCTCGAATTTTTGGTATCTTCTCCTTTTTCTTTGGAATTACAGCAACATCTATAGAAAACAAAGAACTGGTGAGTAAACTTATCACCATAGAATATTACATTTAATTTTTTAAAATTAAAAAGAGCGTAATATTTGATTTGTAATGCAACAAAGATTTGGGGAAATATGCTTTTCTTTGTTACAGCAATAATATTTTTGCAGCCATTAATGTAAAATTAAACTCTTGAAACATATGAAATTGGGATCTAGATAGAACTAAAATTAGATCAAACACCATCCAAAAATTAGTTAGTTATTAGCATTAATTAGTAACTGAGCAATTATGAGTATAAAATTAATTCAATAAAAAAGCAATAAATTTAGTTATTCAGTTCTGATTCTTGTTGTTTCTCAATGGTAATAAAAATACAAACACCGGTAGTCAATGATAACATACTGGTGACTCATTTATGCTTTTGAAAGGACAGCGAGTCTTCTAAAACTGTGGCAAAAGAATCAATGCAGTTGCCAGACCTTCATATGGCAAGTAAAAAAATACCACTTTTTTGGACTGATAAGCCAAAAATATGTTTTTTTCAAATTAAAGCCTGATTCCAAATCAATAATATTGTTTCAAAAAAAAGTTTAATTACTTAACTTAGTTGAACCTAAGTTGATGGAAAATATTTAGGATATTGTAACAAATGAAAGAGCAACAAAATGTTCAAATGCTAAAACTAGACAATTAAATTTATTTCAAGAAAGCAAAGATGTATGCATTAACCCTTTCTGGCACAGTGTGCCCAAACTAAGCAACCCAAAAAGTTCCCTCTGTACACACTGAAAAATTGAATGGAAAAGGCTTTATAGGTTATTTTAGGTTACTTTGAACCTTCTTTATTTATACTAGATGGCATTACAAAACAAACCAGTTCATACATTTTAGCCTTGTTTAGTTTTTAAAGCCAAGAGAGGAACACTTGAGCCACAAGATAGCAAACCACTTCCTCCAGAGTCACTTAAAATGCATATTTTTGAGAAATTAATGGATACTCTTAAATCTGACCAGGCAGCAATATCAACAGGCAAATCCCGGGCTAGCATTCAAGACACTTGAAAAACGTTTAGTCAAAAACTCCGTATAGAGGCTGTGGCAAACTTCAGACTGCAAACAGGTCACGATTGCATGATACATCATCTTAATAAAAATGGCATCCTTCCATCTAGTATATGCCACATAAGTGCAGAGCATCTTCTTATATGCCCAGAACAAGATAAACAGTCTCAGAAACATGGTGAGATAAACTATACCAGAATGCCAGAGCTTTCATGAAGTCCTTGTAAAGACTACATCTCTTATGTTCCTTTCCTTGTTTAAATTTTTAACTTTTTACTTTTGTTTCCGTGTTCATTTATTCTGATTCTTACATTAAATGTTTGTTCTTTTTTATTGTATATCATTGTTCTTGTGCGATACTTGAGCTGTTTTATATATTTGGATTATCTTTCCAATAAAGTCATATGTAACAACAACAGTTTTTGAAGACCCTCATTTTTCAGAGAAATCTTTTCAGAGAATTTTTGGGGGAGGTGTAGAGTAGCTTCCAGTGGTGCACCTTGGGTAATGCTAAATCTGCTATGGTAATCAGAATCCAGTGTTTTATAATCGTAGGCAAAATCTTTTACTCTATTACGTCCTTCCAGTTCTTGCTTCAGCGCTTTTTTCGAAGCTCAGTTAGCCCACTTCGGGTATACTCATAGAAATAAAACAGTGAGTTCTATCTTTACAAAATTTCACCTGTGTACTCCTCAAGGCCTAAGACTGCCTACCAGTTATTTATTTATTTATTTATTTTTTGTTGTTGTTGCTGTTTTGTTTGTTTGTCCATTTGCTGGTTGGTGGTGAAATTCCAACTTTAAAAGGTAGCATGCCAGAAAGGGTTAAACATTTGACTACTGGTATTGCACTTAGCCACATGAAACCATGCCAACTTTACCAAAAATTTACCTAGTATGTTGCCACTGACAACAGGTATTTAAATTCTTATTGAAACTGAGAAACAGCAAGAATCACAACTAAATAACTAATTTTATTGCTTTCGTTTTTACATGCTGTAAATGATCCACTACAGCAGACACAAGTGTGTGTTTGTGTGCGTGTGGGGGGGGGTATTTATAGAACCAATCAGTTCTGTCATCAGAAATCAAATAAAAGAGAAAGTTACCAGTATTCTGCATGTTTAGGCACTTCGAAATTGATTAGATTTCTTTGATTTTGAATTAAAGTAATTAGAAATAATAGAAAACAAAAACTTGAAACTCAATGACTACAAAAATAAGACTTGAAAAGATTGGAGCAAAAATATTTAGAAAGTATTCTTAATCTCCAATTATATTAAACATATATATTATCAGCAGTTTTACGAAATGGAGCTTTAATATTTTATAAACATTAAAATACATACAACAGTACTCATTTTTAATCCTTAGCAATTCTTTGCTCAGTAATCTGGTCAGTGATAATTTTTTTTATTACTTGTGGCCTAGTTTGATTGCAATAACTTGTTTTATATATTTAAGATGTAACTAAAATTGTTTTTAAATTTAAAACAAGGGAAAAAAATTTAAAATCTGAAAAGGTTCAGATTTTAAATTACGACCAAAGGGGCGTTTTTTTTTTTAACATTTTGTGTGTTACCTTTATTTATTAAATATCATGTTCTATGTACACAAACCATACAATTCAGTTCAACAGCAATATCGCAAATTAATTTGAAAATGAGCATATCTTTAGAATTTCCAATACAGAGTCTTGTGTGCTAGAGATAAAATTGTTTTTTTCCTCCTTCCTCCAGTGTTGTCGTTGCTTGCTTTGAAATCATTTAGTTTGTTAATCAAAAATTTGTTGAAGTGTAACAAATAAAAGGAAGTGAAATCGATAATAAAACAAATTTCAAATTCAAATTAGGACTTTCACATGCCAATATTCTATGGAAGATTTATTCAAATTTTGATGGCTCTAGGTACTATTGTTTTATCCCAATTCGAGGAACATACATACATTCATGCAGATTCTTCATTATTTAATTTCTTTAAATATAATACAGGGTGATAATATTTGGTGGCAAAAATTGAAAAGTGAAACGCTTATCGTGATTCGAATCAAAATGCCAAAACGAAATGAATAGTCCTGCTGGGAAAATTGCAACTTTGGACTAATAAAATAAAGACGATTTTTATTTTTCTGAATTACAATATTTTAAATTATAGTTTCAAATTTTACTAATCTTTTGAAGCGCGTGTCTACAAGAAGACAAGATTTTTTGTGTGTGTGCTTCACTTCCTTGTCAACAATATGTCCTACTACTAATCATTTCAAATTTTCTGCCCCAAAACATTCTCAGTTATGGATTTCCAATGTTACATTATATGATAACCTTGGAATTTGTTCAGGTTTTTATTGAGCAGATTAACTACTTATGATAGCACTAAATTTCTTCTTTGGTTACCATACAACATATTCAATTTAAAAGTCAAGTACAGTGAAAATTGTTTAACATGAAACTGAAGGGACTAAAATATTTTTTCATATTAAAAGAATTTCGTGTTAAAGGACATTGGGGGGGGGAACATATATTCAACAAAATTAAGCTTATTAGAGTACATTTTTTTAGATAGCTTTGTATATATGCATGTATTTAATAAAAAATCAATGAAACAAAAACATCAGGAAGAGCTTAAAATTAATACAAGATTTTCAAGTTTTTTGAAAAACAAAACATTCATTGAGTTTTTGGAAAATACTCTGATATTTTTCTTCGCGTTGTCTTTTTAAGCTTCAAATTGTCCAATGTCATCCATTTTGTTATTCATTTCACCATTGGAATGTGCGTCTAAATAACTGTGCATACTTTTTATGACGTTCCTCATGTTGGATGAACATGGGAACAGGAGCTGCATTATTCATTTCATTTGTCAGAATCTGCATCAATTCTATTTTGGGCTTTGAACAAACTCCAAAATGTCTTTGTCTGCCATAATTGGGGCTGTACACACATTATCATCATCTACTGCAACGAATTCATAACGATAACACAGTAGGAAACTCCAATAATACAGAAACTTTTTCAAAACATTTCATTAAGTGTCAGCTCAGTTTCAATATCCTCCTTCTCCATTTCTCTTGGCACCAAAAAATCTGATACTTCTGAAAACTGTGCATGATGAAAACTATTTTCATTCAACCTTGGAGTTACTGAATTCCATGCAGTGCAACGTATGAAGAGACAGAGACATGCAGAGTGAAACATATGAACCAAACTCACAAATCTTTACTCACACTGCTATGTACTCATCACCAAATACCAAAGCCAAATGATGAAAGATGAGATATTTATGTGGGGTTTGTAGGGGTGGAAGGTGAAAGTAGGTTAGATAAACAAAACTGGCTCATGTCGCAGGCTATTCCGAGGATATTTCAAAGCCAAGTTAGCCTTCTTTCTATGAAACATGTGAAACCATCTCACTTTTATTTCACACCCCTCTTAAATCTCGCCTGCGAGGCCAGTGTTTTCCGCATTTTGTTCATTCCCATAAAGGCTAGCTTTTCATATTAGTTTCATGTTAAGAGAAACAAAATGGATAAAAATATATAGTAGTTTGTCAGGACCATTGTATTATTTCGTGTTAACCAATATTTTGTTTTATGCATTTTTGCATTAAACGTATTTGATATGAAAAACAAAGTTTAAGCACTAGACATTTAAAAGATTAGCAGAAATAACTATCACAGTAAAAATACCCTAAGTTTATGTATTATGCAGACATGGATAACAAAAATTTTAAACTTAACCAATTTATTAAAAAAAACATTTAACAATATATATAAAAATAAATATACAATAAACAAATTTGATAAATACAAGAAACTTGAAGTTTAGATTGTAGCATATTCATTGCAAAAAAAATTGCACTTAGTTAACTATTCATTAATCCCCAACGGTGTTCTTTTAAGAATATTACATTATTAATGGTACTACAAACACATTATCTATTCCATGAATACTGGCATTCAAAATCTCACCGACAAACATATCACAGCAAAAGGAAAAAAAAAAAAAAAAAAAAACTACATGATTAACTTGAATTTCACTTGATTAAATAAATCCATGCTTTTAACTAAGAAGACACCTGGAAAATTTAAACCTTGAAAACACTTGTGTTTAAAGATGCCGACAACTGCAGTTGCTCACAGGAAACAACAAATTGAAAACATTGCTGCTTTGCTGAATCCTGGAAAACAAACATGGCACTAAAGAGCCACTCAACACTGAATGCCATGAATCAAAAGAATGTTCCCGAATTCGAACTGGAACAACACACAAAGAAAAATGGGAAAAAGGAGAAAAATAATCACTTAATTAGAGCGATGTGAGATAGTTATACATGCAGTAGATATGCCATCATAGCACAGCAGTCAATCAACTATCAGCACGACCCTACTTTCCAGGTGACGTAATCTCGAGTTTCACTTTTGCATATTAATAAAGCGAGAACAATCCGTTCATAGCATAAACAGTGGCGGTGAATTTGAAGAGGGGGGGAAATTGAATTATTTCAAGGAGGAGAGATGATGCAAAAGGTGTTATAATAAGCCATATTTGCAACAGTATTTCACTGTCACACATTTAAGTCACACAAATATTTAGTTAATTCATTTATTAAAGGCATTATAAGCTGACTTAAATTTTTTTTTTTTTTTTAAAGTAATTTATTCATGATTTCGCTGTTTTTTTTTTTTTTTTTTTTTTTTTTTTGTTGATCATTCACAATAAGTACAATGTGCATAAATCAGAAAAAAAATTGCTTGCTATCATAAATTTTATCAAATTGGAAGTACAGTCACAAATAGTTGTCATTGTACTCATTTTACTGTGTTAACAAACGAATACTTCTTTTACTGAAAAGCTTCTAGTCATCAAAATATAAAGATACAGCTTAACTCTATAATGTAACACTGCTTCAAAACAAATGCTTCAGAATAACTCTAATATGCAGTAATTCAGTACAAAACATCATGTTGAATTATGTCTGACACTAGAGTATGTGCAACCACATTTAAGCACAGGGTTAAATGATATATAGTAAGATGCCTCTTAATATGATAGCACTAACGTTATCATTAATGTTAATGTTATCATTCAGATATTCTGACTGATTTGCTGAAATCCTGCCCTTATGTATATGAAAACATGGAAAATATATTGCTTATTGTGATCAATAATTCTGTAAATATGATCAAAATGTTATAGAATAAATTTTTAAAATTAAATTTGCCAAATAAATGATAACCTCACCAAATAAGAGATTCAAGTTCAGAATGCATTATAAAAATTAACAAGTGACAGAGAAATGTCACGAAAAAAGGGATTAATTAACTAAACACCTCAATAAAATAAAAAAAAAAAAAACTTACCTGTGTTATTTGTATTATCATATGACTCCACAGGCTTTTTAACCAAATCATCTTTTGGAATAATACTGTAAGAGGGTAAACTGACCTGAAAAAATTGTATTTACACAATCAGAATGCAGATCTAACAAAATGCATTTCTTATAAATCATGTAACAGAAAACACACATGTACATCCTTTCCATTAAAAAATACGGGGAAGAGAAACAGAGAAAAATAAACTTTTAATTATACAAAGAAAAGTACGATTATGCATACTTAATATAATTTGGGAAATAAATGTTTGAAGAATCAAAATCTTAATTACAACTGCATTGTTTATGTTCAGAAGAAATCAATCAATGCCAAAGTAAACATAGTATATGAAAAATATATTAATATAATAAAGCTAAATGACTGCCTGGTGGCTAAGTGGCTAGTGCGTCGCACAGCTGCATCACAGGTCTGGGGTTCGATCCCCAGACTGGGCAAGGTTGACTCAGCCTTTCATCCCTTGAATGGGTTTATAAAATGAATACCAAGTTTGCTTGGGGACTAACCACCAGGGGGCCTGTGACAAGCTCACTTGCCCAGGGCATATGCTGATGCACTACGGGCCCAAGGTCAAGAAAGCAGATTTCAGGGCACTGCAGGCCGTGGCCCACTAGGGCTGTTGCGCCACCGAGTGTAGTTTAGTAGTTTAATAAAGCTAAATGTAAAAAGAGTATACTTTATAAGATAACCATTAATACAGGAATAATGCATATGTACATCTTCATTAAATCTGTTAGAAACATAAGCAACATCAATTTTTTATAAATAATATGACAGTTTTAAGTAAAATGTTAATAATAATAAAAATACACCCATAACATCAGTGCTTTCATTTGATATAACTCTGATTAGTTTTCAATTTATTTATTTATTATTCTTTATTTCTAAGAACAAGGACATAAATTAACTGTTATTATTGTATTTTTTCTTGCATTTTGAAAAAAAGATAAAAATTTGTGACTAGCATTTTACAAAACTGTCAGCAGCGGATTATTTTCAAAGACTTGGGTTCTTACCATCAAAAAAGCGTGTATTATGAACATGATATGGTCAGCTGAATACGGCTAATAAAACAGTCACAGACTGGACACCTGTGGGAAAGTCTGAACCCATAGCATTATCTACAGAACTTCAAATAAAATTACAGGATGTAACAAAATAGAAGAAAGCGCCTTTTTGTACTTTACAAAATGCAAAAAGAAAGCGGATCAAATACAAATTCCTTATTATTATTTAAAAAGGAGTTAATTATTTCAAAATTCGGCAGGAACGACTGCTGCAACAGCCTTTGCCAGCTTTTATGGTCAACATGATAATATTTAATATAATTAATAATTTGTGTACCTTAGATTCATTACAAAAAAGAATTGGAATGCATATTTACTGGAAATGGCTCTGATCCTTCTTGAATGACAAATCCTTCAATAACATGTGTTAGAACATGCGGCTTGACAATAGCTTTCTGCAGCTGCTTTTCTTTAACTGCAGGTTCTGGCATGGGCATTACTATTCCAATGTTTTCTGCTTCGATTTCTTTTCGACTGGGAATGATCTTCTCCACAGGAACTGTAATAGGAAGGGCAGGTGATGAGGATGACACTGATTCTTCCACCACTTCCATTTGTATACCTTCAGTTATTAATGGGACAGCAGGAGATGGTGCCACGATGGCTACGTCTGGTGCTGAAAGTGATTCCATAGGTTCTGTAGCTTGGACGACCTCTATTTCCATGGATTCCGGCACAGATGGAGAGAAGGCAGTTTCCGTTACGGCTGACTTTGTGAATGGTTCTAAATGTAAATGTGTAACTAACTCTAGATTATAACGATTTCATTTCAGAAATATATTCATCTAGTACAGAAGAAACTAAACAATATTCTGATTGTTCAGCTAATGTTATACAAAACAAAAGTACAGTGATACTTTGGAATACATCACTACATTACTACGCTTTGCATTGTGTTGCATTTGACATTCATAGTCGTTTGAAGTGTAACTACTGACTATAATTGGTGATATCATGAAGAGTTTATGACTATTTTTGTGGAACGTTCCAGATCTCTGAAATGTTTCTTTTGATAAAATAAATTTTGGCAACCTAGCATCGGAGCTGCATACATTCAATCTAGTATAAACTCATGTAACAATATATACAAAGTCAGACATAAGTGGATGTATATTGAGTACATACATATACAGGGTGATTCTTAATTCTTTTTACAAATTAAGAGGAGTGATATTACTCATCCAGATGAACAATAATTACCATAGAACATAGGGTTGCATTCCACTCTGAGAGGCAGAAAAGAGGAATATTAGAATTCAAACTTGAACTTACAACAGTGTTGGGAAAGCGAATGAATGAGACTAAAAGTTCCACAATCAGTTTAGTGAAAAACTCTGCACAAAATGGACAAAGCCAGAAACTTGGTGTTCGAGTGTTAATTCGAGCTCAGAGTTTGATGGCAAACACTAAAATGCACATTTTGGTTCGCAGAGACTCAAACTCGTAAACGATTGCAACAAGTTAATTGTCTGAATATTATCAACTAACTCCAACTTCTGCTGTATGCCGAGATTAGCATGAAAAGTTCATGCTGTGTTCCGGCTGTCAGAACTTTTTCAATCTGTGTTCCGGCTGTCAGAATTACGTCCCAAAGAAGGGCTCTTCAAGTAAAATAAGCACAGCACAGTAAGTCCAGGAGGACAGGATAGAAGACTGCGAAGGGGGAAAAAGCTGCTACATTGATACTTGATATCACGGTAGCAGTTCTTCCCCTAATAGACAATTTCCCTCTAATAATTAGATAATTAACTTGTCACAATCATTTGCGAGGTTGAGACCTTGCCAACCAAAGATGTGCATTTCAGTGTTTGTCATCAAAGTCTGAGCTTGAATTAACACTCGAACGCCAAGTTTTCGGTTTTATCCATTTTGTGTACTCTCTGCGAGTTTTTCATTAAACTGATTGTGCAACTTTTTATCTCATTCATTCACTCTCCCAATACTATTGTAAGTTCAGGTTGGAATTCTAATATTCCTCTTTTCTGCCTCTCAGAGTGGAATGCGACCCTATGTTCTATGGTAATTATTGCTCCTGTGGGTGATTACTATGACCCCTCTTAATTTGTAAAAACAATTTAGAATCACCCTGTATATGTGGCTGCATATTGAGGTACCCTTGCATTTAATTCTTTTCTTTCTTGGATTATATTAGATGACTCTCTAAAAATATCACATATATTTTTCTCTAAAAAACTCATGATTTGCCATAACAAGAAGAAAATATTATTGAATTAACTTTAAAAAATTACACAATGTTTCACTTTTACAAATGATGTTAACAGTTATATCTTCATAGTTTACCTTTTATGCACCATTTAATTCTATCATACAATAATAGTTTTATAGAAGTACATGTAAATAATACACATAACTAGAAGAAACTAACACAATTCCCTTATTAGAATTTTGATGTATATGTAAATTATACATTAGAACTAATGAATCATAAGTCACAGCAGTCATGGTATCCACTCATAATGACTGATTAAGATGTTGTATAACATAACTGGCTCAGAAATCGAGGACAATATTAGAATTATATGTATTGTTGTACATATCTGTAAATATGTAAATTCTTTTAATATATTGTGCAAAAATTTATCTATTTAGTTATGTATTTATTTGTAGCTTTTAGCACTTTTTTGTATTTGCAGCAACATGTTTTTTACATTATTTGTTTTTTATAAGGAAGTGCTGATTTTTTGTGTTTGATCTGAACATGGCAATGTTTTTATTATAAAAATAGCTCAAGTAGAATGTAAGATATGTGCAAATATGCTCCTTGTGGGCCATGGCACCTAATTCTTCCTGAAAATCCCAGATGCCTGTGCTACACCAAACCTGTGCATGTGTATATTGTGGCATAGAACTATATAAATATAATTCTGAGAGACTGTAAAAATAGCTCAAGTAGAATGTAAAATAGCTCAAATAGAATGCAAGATATCAGCAAATATGCTCCTTGTGGGCCATAGCCACTAATTCTTCTGAGAATCCCAGATGGCTGAGCTACACCAAACCTGTGCATGTATATATTGTGGCACAGGACTATATAAATACAGTTGTGAGAGTCTTGATAAAATAGCTCAAGCATAATGTAAGATATGAGCAAATATGCTCCTTGTGGGCCATGGCAACTGATTCTGCCTGAAGATTACAGATGCCTCTGCTACACCAAACCTGTGCATACGTATATTGTGATACAGAACTATATAAATACAGTTCTGGCAGCTCGGATAATTTGTTGTTAATAACCATATTTCCTCACTTATTTTCTCCCTTTTTACTTATTTTATTATCTAAAAAGTGAGAGCAAAATTATGTGGATAATTTAATTTTTGAAGGATGTGGCTACAAAAAGTAGTTATGCATAAACTACAGGTAATTATCACAATTGTATTTCTTTAAAAGAAAGCTACATTTTAATGAGAATGCAAAGCAATATTAACATTATGATATTAAATAAGCTATCTTCATTTCTACTTTCCTGTAACTTGAATTTTTCACATTCTCACAGTTTTCACATTCTTACAGTTGTCTCTGCTACTCCTTGGGCCTCAAACCCTCAATGAATAATTACAGAATGTGAATGTGAGCATATTCAGTAAAATGTTGAATGTCGGTTAATGTTTGCTTCATTGTGATGGGTCGGTTTTTGCATTAGGCTTGTAAAATTTAGAGAAGCTTGTTCTTTGAATGTAATGAAGAAGCGGAAAATGGTGTAAATATTAAAAAAATTTCAGAACCTGGTGCTACAATGCTGGGGGGGGATAGTAGTTATTATTAAACTGTGAGATTTAGCATAGGCTGAATTGTGATTTACAGTTTGCTCTGCTAGTAATTTTAGGAAATGATGACATTCTCGTATGCTAAGAAGGAACTGCTTATTATTCATATTTTCCTTGAGTTACATGTTCAGCTGTGCATAGTTTATTCCTATAGTAAATTGATAATTTCTTCCTGTTTATTTGAAGTGATCATTTAGAAAAGGATTAACAAATCAGTAGCCTACAACAATATTTATGCATTCTTAAATAATTTCACAGTTGATCATAACTTGGAAGACGCATTGCATTGTACAAGAAAGGTATTTGGGAATCATGTAGTATGCAATCTATCGCTTTATTTATTATTCTTTTTGCTGTCATTTTATCACACATTTGAATATAAAAGTTTTTGAAGTTTTTATTTGAAGAAGCTGTTATAATAGAATTATGAAACTACTGAAATTTATACTGGCTAAAGTGTTGACTAAGAGTCACAACAAATTTGTTGATTTCAATGTTAGATAATGTTTTATTTATAGGGACCCTATTTTTTGGTCATTTCATAATGATTTTATTTCAGTAAATTTACTTTTTATTTTTATTAGTCCAAAGGGGCTTTGTCCCTGAAGGACTATTGTTTTCGTTTTGCGATTGTGCGTTGAAAACTTTAAAAGGCTGTATCACTTTTAAATCGTTGTCACCAAATACTATTGCCCTGTACTATATTTCAAGAAATTAAATAATGAACAATATGCATAAATGTATGTATGTTTCTTGCATTGTGATAAAACAACGGTACCTAGAGCCATCCAATTTCGAATGACGCAATCCTTTTGCGAATATGGGCATCTGAAAGCCCAAATTTGAAATTTGTTTTATTATCGATTTCATATTTTGTAAAACTTTAACGAATTTTTGATTAACAAACTGAACGATTTAAAAGCGAACAATGGCAACACTCTACAGTGGGCCTTTTTATCTCCAGCACGTGGAACTGTGTATCAGAAATTCTAAAGATATGCTCATTTTAAAATTATTTTGCGATATTGCCGTTGAACACTGAATTTTATGGTTTAAATGCAAAGAACATGATATTTAATAAATAAAGGTAACACACAAAATGTTAAAAAAATGCCCCTTTGGACATAATTTAAAACCTTTAATATATAAATGAAACATAAATGAAACCTTTCAGATTTTTTTTTATCTTTTTTATTTTTTTGATTTATAACTAGAATTAATGGGATTGAGGATATTAGAACAAAAATGTATCATATAATCTATATGATATTTAATGTGCACAGTAACGAGAATGTGCATGATGCTGAGTTTGCCCAAGGCTCTGTTATTTTTCAAGTGAGCAGAGACTCCTGTACAAATGAAGAAAACAATACTGCACATAACATTAAACAAAAGGGGGAAGAAAACAATAATGCATGTAACATTAAACAAAAGGGGGAAGACAACAATAATACATATAACATTCAACAAAAGGGAGAAGAAAACAATAATGCATATAACATAATATACATAATGTTTAATGTGTGCAGTGCTGAAAATGTGCAATTGTCTGATATTGTTTAACTGAAAACAGATTGCTGTGTAAATGACAAGAACAACAGTAATGTTTCATAATTATGTATAAAATCTAATGTATCATTATGATATTTTTAATTTGAATTATAGTATGAAATAACTAACTAACTAAAAGTGATAGATCACATTCTACATGAATACCAACCAAATGGTTAAATAATTGCACAAGAAGATTCAATCAAAAAGATTCATCGTTCAAAGCTTTAGCTTATTGTAGTATATTGTTTTGATGCATAGCCTCAAAATAACACAAAACTTTTTTAACAACTAAATGTTGCCTGTGTGAAAAAAAAAAAAAAAAAAAAAAAAAAAAAAAAAGAACAGTCCAAATACAATCTGATTTTTGAGATATGCTAAGAGCCTTGATATTTTCTGATGCACTCTTGCAAGAAGCTGCACTAATGCTGGACAGAGGAACATCATTCTGCCAGAAGATATTAAATTATAATTATAGTTCAGATATATTAAATAATTTTTGTGTATTTTTTCCCTTTTATTTATTTTATATAAATTCTTCCTTATCACATAATACAGCTTCAGATCAATGAACAATTAATTATCAATTTCATTAATAATATTTTTAATGAGCAGGGTCTTGCCTATACTAATCAACTGCTGATGCATATTTGGCTACTGATCCTTGATCGTTACTGAGGCCCTTTAAATTTCAGCCACCCCATTGGGAATCTCTGATTTAAATACTATGCTAATTATGCACATGCTTACCTTAATTTTTAATCTAAAGCCTTTTTAAACAAAGGAACTCAATGTTATTGTTTAAATTATTCAAACACATACACAAACTGTGTGGCATACATTATATTTCTAAAAAAATGTGCAAAACATTCCAATGAAAGTGATAACAGATTAAGCATTATTAAAATTAAAAAAATAATAATAATAATAACTGATACATGTAAAACGTGCATCAATATCCTTTTTTAGACTTTGTTTAGGTATTTGATTATGGGAGATTATGGTACTATTGCATTACCAGCCCAACCATGACACGAATCACAGAGCAAAGTGATATGTCACCATTGTAGGCAACCCAGAAAATATGTTTTTATCTGGCCACCCAATAAATATGTGCAGTTTTGGAATTCTGAAGTTCTGTTCCCCCAATGGCGAGCACTTGCCTACGTCGGCACCGACCACTCCTAAGGCCAGATGTGGTGGTCTCTTTATTATGGAGGCACCTAATAAGTGGGCCACCTTTGCTTCCTATGAAGGGACAGACAATTACGTCCATGCCTTCTCCGGGATTCGAACCCAGGCCCTTCGGTATCGCAGTTAGGTTCCCTTAACCACTACAACGTCTGGGCAGCGGAATTCTGAAGATTATGGTTGTGGATTCTGCTTCTTTTGATTACTATTTTTCCTGTGTACCAAATCATAATGTAAATGGAGTGTTGGTCTGCTAATAAAAAGAAATATATAAGTGATCAAATTGTCCGAGTTATTGTGGGAAATTCTTCTAGAGATAATATCAGGAAGGAGAGCAAAAAGATTGTTTTGAAGAAATTTTATTAAAGTAGACAGCTGAATGGTTATAAAAATATAAATACTGTGAGATTTGATTCTTAGTAATATTGTTGCAGTAATAAAATGCATATAAAATTATGCATTTGGCTAGCTTTTATTTACTTCTGATGCAACATTATTACAGAAATCTTAAGCTTGAAAATAGTTTATGAACTATTCTTAGGGACTGTAATAACAGTTTTCTCTCATTTTTCTTTAAATTGAAACAGATTGATGTGTGCATGGACAGTAAGTGCCAGTTTGCTCTGAAATACTAAGAATTCTATAATTCTCTAAGTTAAAACATATCACTGTGCATAAAGGCAGAAAACTGAGAAAACAGAAAGTTAACTGCCTTATTATGAGTGTTTGTTTCCTTTTTAATTCAGTTAATTTGTTACTGTTTAATAAAATTTGGAGTATTTTAATATGGATGCATGCTTTACGCAAATTTTACTGTTTCATTATGCATGTTCCTTGCATTTTTAGTTTTCTCAATTCACTGCTGTTTTATGTAATTTACCATTTCCTAAAATGGCTACTGTTCTTCACATGTTAGGCTGGCGAAAATCAGCTGGCGCAAATGATTGGCAACTTCGTGGAACAGCTGGGCGGATTATGTGATAGTACCAAGAATAATTTTCAAAAATTAGAAAATGTACTCCTAACACAAATATGTTTTCAAATCAACTAGATAAAGTAACTGAAATGGATGCTAAACTTAAAATAAATATGGCAGGTCCATTTAAAAACTTATTAATACCTAGTATCTTATTATATGAAGAAGCTAGCTTAGATTCCGAGGTAGGTTTCGTCTGGTTCGCTGCATCAGCTTTTTGACTTGGGGGAGGCTGTGTTTGAGTTTGTGTTGTTGCTGTCTGAAAATGGACAGAACTTCCTCCAGATGGTGCTTGAACCGAGCGATAATGAAGTACACGAGACCTCTGTTTCCCCTGAAATTGTGCCAAAAGAAAAGTATAAATACAATGTAAAACATTCACTTCCATTATTACAATGAAAATATTTTAATTTTTCAACAAGGATTCCTGATCTCAGAACTATTTGTGTAAGAGAAAGTTACGTTCCCCTAAAATTCCCTTTCAAATGTTGACAATCATTAATATCTAAACTAGGGTAATCAAGAAGCAGATGACAGTTATTTGTACAAAATTTTACACATTTGAATCAATTTTTTTTTTTAATCTTTCAAATCGATTTATATAAATTACTCCAAGTTATCTGCAAAATACAGTTTAAAGTCTGAAATTTGGATGTCCAATATCTAGAATGAGCAAACATCTAGACCTCTGAACCACCAGTTAAAAAACAAATAAATAGAACAATAAAAAAAATTTCTCCTTATAAAAATCTATGAGTGGAGAATATAACACTTAACAAAAGGAAGCAAGAGTGCCATAAATGTGATTCTTCTCCCCACCAAGTGAGATTCCTAATGTCACTTTCAAACACCTTCTTGTGAGGTAGTCACACTGTAGAACAATACATTGATTGACATTGTACTGATGTTGACAAGGATCAAACATCTGGCCATTGAGTAGGTGTGTAAGGCTGGTGATATGCATTTTGCTGCCCTCTGCAATCTCCTGTGAGTATGAAATTCTGCTGCCTTCCTAAATTCGAAAACTTTTGCTGCCTAGTGCCTCTCCTAAATTCTAAACATTTTGATGCTCGAAGCTCCTCTTAATTTTAAAATTGTTGCCACCCTGTGCAGCCAGACCAGCCTGATTATTCTGAACTCGAACGTTGTCCTGTATACTTTCTTTGAATAGCAAGGAGCATACATCTGTTTCATTCGAAAATAATGGAATTTGTTTTTCTAATTCAACACCAATCTAAGGTTAATATTGGGCCACAGAAAAAGGTCTCCATGTTTTTTTGGTACATTTTTGAACAAAAATTTTGTTTAGTGAAAACCAATTACATGTTGGCCATTATTATCTCTGACCTTTTGTCATTTTTTGGGTAGCTTCATAATTCCATCGGTGTAGAACTTCTGTGGTTTATCGTCGAAAAACTTGGCCAAGTGATTTTCAGAGGCACTTTGGTCTGCTAATTTTTTACCATCAAGAAAGTTCTGTAGAGACCGAAACAAATAGTAGTCAGACGATACAAGGTCCAGGCTTTACAATGAATGCATCAAAACTTCCCAACCAAGTTCCAGCAATTTGTTCCGAGTCATCAAAGATGTGTGTGAACGCACATTGTCATGAAAGAACACAAATCTTTTTCTGCTGGCCAATTCTGGTCGCTCTTTCTGGATTACTTCGTTCAGACAGTCGAGTTGTGCACAGTACAAGGCCGAATTGATGACTTTCGCCAGGTTGCAGAAGCTCATAATGGACAATTTATAGCCTGCTCTTTTCAAATGATTCCAAACTGTCATGTAGTTGATGTTTAGTACCTGAACTATTTCCTGACAGCTTTCGTGCTGGTCTTGCTCCACCAGTTGTAAAATTTCATAGATTTTTTCAGTGACTGGCCGAACAGAGTGAAGTGCATTTTTGACATCGAAATTTTGGGAATGGAATCGAGCAAACTGCTCCTGGGTCCTTCATTCACTTAAAGGAACTCACCATACACTTCAGAAATTTTTTGGCATGTTTTTGAAGCATTTTTGCCTTTTTTATAGTAAAAAAGCATCACAGAGCATATTTCTTCAGATATTTCACTCATTTTTAAATCAATGTAATTTTTTACATGAGCAATGAATTAGAAAACTATCTTCACAAATAATGGAAGCTAAATGTCACCTTTTAAGCACATGTTCGTTTGAAACAATCGAGACAGTGTTGCCGGACATATAGGCATCCACACCATCCAGTGGAAAAAAAAAAAAAAAAACACTCAGACTTTTTATATGACCCAATATTTGTGTTATAGTGTATACAGTATATAGTACAGATACCAGAACATCTGTACGAGTTTCAGTACGATCTGCCTTTGGGTGGGTACATGCATTTTGTAAAATTTCACTGCAACTCATCTTTTTTTTTTAAATAAACATTTAAGCAGAAATTGCTTCCTCCATATTGAAATGATTGTCAAGTTTATAAATTTATATTGGATTAAGGAGACAGAAGCAGGAAGAGTGGCTTTGAATACAATAACTTTTATAAAATAGATTTCTGATAATGTATGCGGATTTATTAAAAATGAAAGAACTAAGCATAGTATTAAAATAGCGGTTATTGTTAAAAAAACATGACATGTCAGCTAAAAGTGTTTATAAGATATGGCAATGAGTAAAATATTGTTGTGAGAGAGGAGAAAATGCTATTTTTAAAGCAAAAATACAGAGGGATAGTGGTCATGTATGCAAACACTAAGAAATTTTGGAAAAAGCAACAAACATAATTTATCAAAATGCCTTGCTGCTGCAAAGAGAGAGCCAATGACAATGATGCAGTGAATAGAAAAACAACATATACCTGAAAGATGTTTTGAGTGTCATAAAACTTGATTTGCAAGATAAGACCTCACAAAAAAAAGCAGTGCTTTGATCTCAAAACACATGACTGGAACTCGTTGCTTGTGCTAAAGAATCTATTAATGTGATCTATAAAGCAATAAATTATTTAAAAATTTAAACAACATGTAATATATATAAAATTAAAGTTAAATAAATACTTATATAGTTGTATCATACTTCATAAATTATACCCAAGCCCTGAAGTTAGTGAGAGAGACGGGAAAAGCATCATTTTTTAAAATGGAACAATGATTTCAACATGAAGGGAATATTTAATATACATGATAAAATAACAAACACAATGGTCAGAATAATACTGCATAAGCTTCAAATACTTTATACTTTAAAATCAGATCTTTGTAAACAATACATCTTAGCTTACAATGATTTGAATTTAAAACCTCATTTCTATATTTCTGATCACGTATCACAGATTATCAACCATATGGAAATGAAAATAATTTCCAACCATATGGAAATGAAAATTTTATTACTGAGGATCTTTAAACAGGCTTTCACCATTAAAACGTAAGCTTTTCCTTAAAAACTGGACAAACTGTCAGAACAGTAAGTAGCAAAGTTTTGTTTAATCTCATGAAAAATCTATACTTAGAGCAAAATTTAAGTGGGTTAAATCATTCAAAAATGACCAAGAGATATTTCACACTCATGATATGCAAATGATATCTCATTGTACATCATTAATCTGTTGCATATTTATGGATGTATCCTGAATGAAATTTCTCATTAAGAAATAACATTATGAAATCTCATTATGAAATGCAGAGATAAAAATATTACTTGCTTCGCCTTGCACTCACAAACTGTTACATGAACATTCAGTTAAAATTTTTAAAATATGCATGTCTGCAATGTCATCATCACACATTCATTCCCAAGTGCTGCTTTATTTTTTATCATAATATTTCATACATGTTCCAAAACTGCAAAGATTTTGTTTTTGGTTTGATTTAATTTATTATGTCAAAGCATTTCAAGGTTATTTTGCCTAAAGGAAGTGATCCGTCTAGGGAAAACTGGCTTATATCTATCCATGTTACCCACAAAAGTGCTCATGCAGCCAGTTCATTCATCATGATTCGAACCCTGGATAAAACTAAGCATGTTCAGTGTTTTACTGCTCGTCTACTGTTGGGCCCACAAAGATTTGGTTCCCCTTTATTTTCTACAAGATGTTTTAGAAATGTGATGTTTTTTCCTGCTTTCTTTTTTCCCACAATGTTTTTATGGTGATATTTTCCCTTGCACTGTTTTCTCCTGCCTTCTTTTCTCTCCCTCAGTGTTTTGTACAATGTCTCCTTTTGCATTGTTTCCTCATCAAGTATCTCTCAACGATGGTTTTGGCAGATGCTTTCCAAATCAAGGATAATTCATAATAATCACGTTAGCTTAGCCAAAACAAAGAATGAAAAATGGGAATATCAATTTTCAGCTAAAGAACAATGAATTAAAATTCTATAACAAATAGTGATTAATTAGTTTGCTGATTTGATTCAGAGGTATAATAATTTGAAGCTCTTTCATTTTTACTAAGCTAAAACAGTACTTATAAGATAGCTTTAAAACTTGTTAAAACAGATTATCAATCCTCTAAAAAAATGAGCTAAAATATTTGAAGAATAACTATCAAAACTAGTTTAGTTAACTAGCTGCAGCATATAATTTAAATTATTATAGCATATATGTTATGAAGAAACCTAACACTAGGTATCTTAAAGGAATCCTAAAATTACTTTATACTACCTCTCTCTTGAAAAAAAAAAAAGCTCTTGAATTCTCTTTCGCATTGATAGAGGACAAAATCTGTTCTTCTCCAACATCTGAAATGCCCATGTACATAAATTTATGCTGGAATGGATTTCTTTCCTCCTGCCAAGTAGAATATTACAGCATTAACAGTAACCTACTTAAGTGATTACTTCTCTCTTGGGGTTCTTTGTGCAGTTTCACCTAATGTGTGCAGTTTCCTCTTAGAACAGGATTGTAACTGCAATCATCAATAACTAAATATTGACACTTAACAAAAGACAAGGAAGATGCATTCAAATAAGAGAGTTAATTCAGTCACTAGAAAAGAATGACTGTTATGTCATTTAGCAACTCCTGAAACCAATGAGACATGCACTAATATAATGGGGGAAAACACCAAGTATAAAATGGATGCAAGCATTTGGGTGACCTATGCCTGAATGCACAAGAGATATGGGCAACTTCGCTGTGAAAGGGTTAATGTCCAATCAATGCTGTGAAAGGGTTAATGTCCAATCAAAGTGCACCATAAGAGAAATAGAATTAATGACATTGCTAAAAAAGCATTTTTATATACTAATTAACAAACAAAACTATTTACTAATGCTCTTTGCTACTTTCTCTGTAAAAAAGAAATAAAATTTGATTTCCAACATTTTATTAAAACTCCAACACAAATACATGGGTTCCAAAAGATCAAGGGCTTGAATTAACAAACAAAACTATTTATAATGCTTTTTGTATTTGCTTTGCTTTTATCTGCTAAGAGAATAGATAGTTATGCTAAAAAAATTGATTTTGTACACTCTATAAAAACTCCCATGTAAATTAATTGATTCCAAAAGATTAAGAGCTTAAATTAACAAACAAAGCCATTTACTAATGCTTTTTGTTACTTTATCTGTTAAAAAGAATGACTAAGTATGCTAAAAAGTTGATTTCATATACTGTATAAAACCTCACACGTAAATGCATAGATTCCAAAAGATCAGGGTCTTAGCATTAAGGTTCAGAAAAATGTTGAATTTCTTAGTCACTTAACTGTGATCATAAATACATTTATATAACACAATTAAAAATGTTTTCTTCTCTGTAACAGTACCTATAAAAATGTACAAAGAAGATGAGAATTTGAATTCTTACTTGTGTTTTTGAAATAGTTCCATTGGTGCTGGTGGCAGTGGATGTGGAAACAACTGTCTGTGTGGCAACTGAACTACCCGGACGCAGAGGCTAAAGGAAAATAAATAAATAATTATAGGAATTAAAAGAATGTTATAACAAAAAAAAAAAAAAAGGAAACAAAGTAATCACACACACAACAAAAAAAATAATAATAACAATTCCCAACCTGGTTTTTGAAGGCTCAGAGGATGACAAGATTGAGAAGAATATATATTATTATGAGGGTACACTTTTAGCTTTTAGAAACTATTTATTTATTTACAATCTTAGAATGTATAATCACAGAGAACTGCAATACCAGCATAGTTCTATTTTCTAAAGTTCTATCCAAAGTATTTCTATCCAAAGTGTTGCCAATTACAAGTTACTAAATATTAAATGTTACCATTTACAAATTATTAAATATTACATCTTCCATTTTTTTAAAGAATTCAAAAGTTTTAACAGTCTAAAATCAGTCCAAATACCTGGCCGGCTTTCTAATCACTCTCCCATTTATAGTTCTTAGCTCACCGTTCCTTGTTTCTGAGTTAGCAGAGTTTGGTAGTTGATCTTCTAAACTTTGCCCTTGAGAATATCTGGAATCATATCCTTTTACATCTGTTTTCTGTCTATTAACTCCTTGTTCTGTTCCTCTGATATTCTATTCAACAGCTGAACTGTTTTCTCTAATATCTTTTCTATTTCTTTTCAATACTGATCCACCTGATCTAAGTATATATGATCTAGGCATCTTATGCACTTCTTCTACAACTGCTGGTTTCCAGCGATTATCTTGATATACCCGAACACAATCTCCTTTATTTAGCGATGGTAATGTTTTTGTATGACGATCATAATATGACTTCTGTTTAGTTCTTTCTTGGTGTATTTTTTCTTTTACATTTTTCACAACTTGAGGTTTAAGTAATTCTTCAGATGTAGGAAGAATCGTTCTTGTTCTTCGACTCATAAGTCGTTCAGCTGGTGATCCTAGCATCTAATTAGTTGGAGTGTTCCTATGAGCTAACAATGCTAAATAAGGATCAGCATGATCTGCTTGAGCTTTCTTTAATAATTTCTTCACCATTTTTACTGAACGCTCTGCTAATCCGTTCGACTGTGGATGGTATGGACTGCTTGTTATATGTTTAAATTGGTATTTCTTTGCAAATTCTGCAAATTCTTTACTTGCAAACTGAGGTCCATTATCAGATATCACTATCAATGGTATACCGTATCATGCAAAATGAGATTTCATGTAACTGATCACTGTCTGACTTCAAGTATCCGGTAGTTTGGAGATTTAAAAAAAATTGGAATAGTAATCTACAATTAATAAATATACATCTTTGTTAATCTCAAATAAATCTTTCGCAACTTTATACCAAGGTAAATTGGGAATTTCATGTGGTATCATAGGCTCTCTTATGTTTTTGTTCTGGTATTCATTACATATAGAACATTTTGAAATTTTATCTTCTATCTGCTTGTTCATACGTGGCCAAAACAAAACATCTCTAGCTCTTTTCTTACATTTTTCTATACCAAAATGACCCTCATGAATTAAATTTAACATTTCCTTTTGCATAGATAAAGGAATAATTAACCTTCCTCCTTTGAAAAATAAGTCACTTTCCATTGTCAAATCTCTGTAGTCCCAAAATACTTTGACTTGAGGTTCTACCTGATGCTTCCTTTCTGGCCAGCTTCTCAGAATATATTTCTTTAAGCACTGTAGTGTAGCATCACATTCACTTTCTTTCTTCAATTCATAAATTTTGTCATCAGATGCTGGAATCAGTGTACAAATTTCTGTATCTTCATCATTATCTTCTTCTGTTGTATTCAAATATGCTCTACTCAAAGTGTCTGCTATTAATAAGTCTTTCCCCTTTTTGTATCGTACATCTAGATCATATTTTTGTAAATTTAACAGCATTCTTTGCAATCGCTGTGCTGCTTTAAAAAGAGGTTTCTTAGTTATGCTTTCTAATGGTCGATGATCAGTTTCAACAGTAATACATTTGCCATATATATATATTGATGAAATTTAGAACATACAAAAGTAATAGCTAAAAGCTCTTTTTCTATCTGATCATAATTTTTCTGACTTTTTGTTAGAGCTCTGGAAGCATAAGCAATTGGTTGGTTTTCTTGTAGTAAAACATCACCTAATCCTTCAGAACTTGCATCTACTGAAAGAGTTACATCCTTATTAACATCATAGAATTTTAATACGGGTGCTTTTGCAATCAATTAAGTGTTTCGAAAGCTTTTTGATGTTTTTCAGTTCCAGTGCCAGAGAAGCATTTTTCTCAAGTAACTGTCTTAATGGTGCAGTAGTAATAGTTAAGTTAGGAAGAACTTTGGCTAAATAATTGAATCATTCCCTAAAAATCTTTGTAGAGAAAGCACATCTGTAGGTTCTGGCATTTTAACAATTCCTTCCACTTTATAAGAAATCAGGTTTTAATCCTATTTTCACTTAACTCATGCCCTATATATTTCACACGATTAACTTTTATTTTACATTTAGCCTTATTGAACCTTCAAGATTAATTTCTCGTGCTCTATGGAGTACTTTTTTAAGTCGTAGCTCATGTTCCTTTCATAAGATCCCCATATTAAGATATCATCTATAATACATTCAATGCCTTCCAGACCTTCTATTATTTGGCTTAATTTTCTTTGGCAAATTTCTGGAGCTGAACATATGCCAAAAGGTAATCTTTTAAATTTGTATCTGCCAAAAGGTGTATTGAATGTACACAAATTACTATTTTCTTCATCAAGCTGGATTTGCCAAAAAGCACTATTAGCATCTAAAACAGAAAATATTTTTGCGTTAGACATTCTGGTGACAACTTCGTCAATGGTTAACATCAGATAATGTTCTCGTTTTATAGCTTTATTTAAATCTCTAGGATCTAAACATATTCTTATTTGTTCGGTTTGACAACTGGGACCATTGAATTTACCCATTCAGTTGGTTCTCTTCACTTTTCTCAATAACATTTAAATTTTTCCATTCTTTGTAATTCTTTCTTAACTTTATCTCACGTATAGCTATGGGTATTTTTCTTGGAGGATGAATTGACTGGTGTTGCATCGTTGTTTTAACTGGATTTTATATTCTCCATTTCAAACAATACCTAAGCCTTCAAATACATCTTTGTATTTCCTCCAGTAAGTCTTCAGCGTAAACAGACATTACTTTTTGAATCAAACCTAGTTGCAAACACGATTTTAATTCCTAATATAGAAGGTACTTCTTATGTCAATAACTTGGAATTCTGCAAAAATAATTATTTTTTCCATATTGGCTCCAGTAGTACTACTTTTCCTAAAGTATCCATTTTTATTCCCAGAGAATGTAACTAATCTTTTAATTTCAGACTTCTGTATCGAAAACATTTAGCAATTTCACTTTGCTTTTAGAAATAACATTGCACATTGCTCCAGTATCTAACTGCAAATTTAGTTTACTTTTATTTACATTAACGTCAACAGTCCATTTCTCTTTCTTGTTATCTGAATTAAGGTTTAATGTGCCAACATAAAATTCTAACTCTTTCCTCAGAGTCATGATTTATTAAATTAATTTTGTCTATCTTTTTGTTTACCTTGAACTGCTTCATTTTTTATTATATAGCTTTTACACTGATTCGCAAAATGATTTGCCTTTTTACATTTATGACAGATTTTTCCACATGCTGGACACATTCGATACTCATGAGATGTTCCACGTTTAGAACAAACTTTTGTCTTTTGTTTATCAGTATTTACCTCTTTGTAGATATTCTTATTATGTTTACTTAGTTTCTTTTTCACTACGTTTACAGCAGTTTCCTCATCTTTTATGATTTTCATTTGATGTGCACTTATTTCAGCAGATCTGCATATATCGAGAGCTTTTTCTAATGCTAATTCTGTGTCATGTAACAATCTTGCTCTCACTACATCATTTTTAATACCACAAACAATTTTATGCTTTATTAAACTATCCGTTAATTGTGCAAACTCGCATGTTCTAGCTTTATTTCGAAGGTCAGTTACGTATTCATCTATGGTTTCTGACGCGGTTTGATTTCTAGTAAAGAATAAAATGTCTTTCATATGTAATATTTTTCTTAGGAATACAATATTCTGTAAATTTTGTTTTAATTTCACTTAATTTAATTTCTTTTACCCTCTTCTATAGGAAATGTATTATATATTTCAAGACCACGAATTCCTATTACATGAAGAAAAGTATTAACTCTTTCCTTCTCTTCTTTATTATGTAATCCACTAGCTACTTCATATATTTCAAATGATTGCAGCCATCTTTGCCAATACGAAGCTAGATTTCCATCAAATTTCATCGGCTCTGGTGGTTTTAAACTTTCCATTTTGAAAGCAAAATTTTCCTGACACCATATATTATTATGAGGGTACACTTTTAGCTTTTAGAAACTATTTATTTATTTACAATCTTAGAATGTATAATCACAGATAACTGCAATACCAGCATAGTTCTATTTTCATATCTGTATCCAAAGTGTTGCCAATTACAAGTTACTAAATATTAAATGTTACCATTTATAAATTATTAAATATTACAAATAATTTTATGAATCATATGAACTAATAATACACAATGTGACAATTTAATAATACGACTTATAAAGATGAATTGTCAAAACAACACTATATTCTATAAGTCATTTAACATTTGAATGAACAGATAATTTTTAAATGCTGTGTTATATATACTTCGGTTGAAAAACAATGTTATAAAATGCTTTCTGGTACAATAAAGCATTTTCACACTGGTCAGTAACTGCTCAGCAACATGTAGCCTGAATGCAAGTATAAACATTCAACCATCCACCTATCACTGCAGATACTGAAGATTTCTCCCCTTACGACTACTTCATTCCTCAGAACTAAAGTTTCCATTCAAAAGAAAGTTTTCTCCTCACTACAAAGAGATCCAAAGAATAGCAATATCTGACCTTATAAGGTATTTCTCCCACCTTCTTAGCATGCCTTTGTGGTGTAGTGATCAGTATATTCGGCGCGTATTCGAGAGGTCCGTGGTTCGAGTCTTGGCGAGGGTTTTGTGGATTTTTCATCTTAAAAAAAAAATACCTAATGTCTCTACAGTGGCACTCGAACAAGGACTCGAACCATGGACCTCTCGAATACACACCGAGTGTGTTGACCACTACACCATGAAGGTATACTAAGAAGGTGAGAGAAATACCTTATATAACTCAACAAAACCTAACAGACGTGACGGCGTAACAGCGGGCTAAGCAATGAAATAGGCTGGCTAGCAAAAACATGCTCTGAATAAACTCAGAGATTCACTTGTTTAAATACTTACTTCACTTAACTTTCAATTTACATCCTGGCAAGGAAATGTGAGGAGTTCAGAAAAGATAACAAACATTTGAATAATATGTTAATTTTAACTAAAGGAAACACTACAATCTTAATAGTCAAATGTCCCTGATCTTTGTATCAATAGATAACTTGCTGCTGTTGCTGTGATCGATAACAGACTTCTCTTTTACTATATAATTTTTACCTCTCTTTGCACTAGCATAGAGGCCTTCAAGTAACTCATGTAACTTTAAGTAGCTCATAAACTTTAAATGTCTCTTAAAAAAAGTACAGTTTTATTATTTAATTGCTACACTTTATAAATATATATATATATATAAGCGAAATACCACAGACTCATCATGAGATCTCCGAAACTATACACCCGATTGAAATTATTAAATTGGTAAATAACTTGCATCTATCCAGGAATACAAACGACATTTAAATGATAAAGTTAAGAATAACATTTATATTTAACTGTTATCATAAATTTCATGAAAATAAACATTATTATTAGGAGAAATAAATTACTGTGATGAAAAATAAAAATGTTGCTGTTATTTATAAAAATTGTCATACATAAAAAATCAAGGACAAATAATTATAATTGATTAAAAAATTCGATAACAAAGATAATAACATTTATTTTCATGAACCTTATGATAACAGTTAAATATATATAAACATTAGTTTTATGTTGGCAATTTTTCGTGATGTAGCCATACTGGGTTTCCCGCCACGTTAAATAATGGGAATGCATCCCAATGCACAGTATCTCATGGGTGATGTGGAAATCTGTGTATGACAGATTAACTGACTGGCACTATACTCCCCAAATTTAAATTTAGAAAATTTATATTCATTATCAATTTGAAATTAGACACTTTGTACTTATATGAAGCCTAGGTTCACATTCAAATAGATAGTGTGTCCAGCAAAGCAGGCAGCTATCAGCTAGTATTTAATGTTGAGAATAAGTAAATGAGACATTTCAACTAAATTTTACATATCACTTATTACAACAATTAAACATGTTTCCCATTTTTCTTAGTAATTATTTATGCATACTATAAAAGGAAAAATGCTGCTTACTGGTTTAGGTTTAAATATCTGGGGAGCAGGAGTACTCGGAGGAGGCGGAGGCTGTTGTTGGATTTGTTGCTGTTGCTGCACTTGTTGCTGCTGTTGTTGCACTTGTTGTTGTTGTTGCTGCTGCTGTTGCTGAGTTTGCTGCTGCTGCTGTGCCTGCTGCTGCTGTTGTTGTTGTTGCTGCTGCTGCTGCTGTGCCTGCTGTTGCTGTGACTGCTGTGGTTGCAAAGGTGCAGGTGCTACAGGAACAGCATGAAGAGTTGCTTGGGGTGGAGGAGACTGAATAAACATATCTGACTGCTGACTGCGAATAAAAATTGGATTCTGTCCAAAGAGCGCAGGTGAATGTAAGGAACCAGGGGTCGCCCAAGTAATGCCTTGTGGAAGTGATGCACCTAAAGCCTGAAGGGACCCTGGGAAAGTGCAATACACAAAAACAATTAATTAATTACCTAAATCAGATAATCATTTAAACATAAAAATGATGTTTAAGCTAAAATTCATGAATTTTAAATACCAAGAAAATTATTTAATGTTAAAAAAATATAATACACCTGTGTGCAAAATTAAGAGAATTTGTACATTATATCAAATTTCAGAAAACTAATGGACACATTTTATTGAAGCAAGGTATGGATAACCAAGAAAGAGATGTACCATTTGAAAAGTCATTTTATATACCCATGATTATCAGTAAAGTTTATAATGCAGGTATGTCCAAAATCTATGCTATTATATTAAAATGAAAATGAGTCTATCATCAGGTATGGTCCTCTCTCAGAGAAAGACAGGTTGTTCAGCGTGATGGCATACTGGCTGGTTCTCGGGGGGGATGGCAACATGAAATTGACCACTTAAGAGTGTCCCAGACATGCTCTGTAGGCTTAAGGTCAGGAGATTTGGCTGACCAACCCATGCAATGAATATCTTCACCGTCATGAAATCTTTGACCAGCTGAACCCTATGTAAATATACATTGTCATCCATTAACAGGAACATAGGTCAGCTTGAAAAGTCATATACTCTAATATCTCCTTTGTATACCTCATAGCAGTTGCACAGTCTTTGTCAAATGCATGCAGGGGTGCATCAATCATGCATGCAGGGGTGTCAAATGCATGCAGGAGTGTCATATAATGTCTGAGGCTAAATCTTGACTCATCTGTAAAAAGCACAGTACTCAACTGATGTCTGGTCCAAGGTGCATGTTGTCTACACCATGGTAAAGATATTTCGTTTGGTGCTACAGTGAGCTGGACGGATACAGCGAGACTTCTGGCATACAGCCTTCTGGCTTTTGGGCAACTGTAGACCATGAAACTTGGGTTCCAGAGGGAGCTTACACAGCTTACATGAGAGCTCTGAAGCTATAGCAGTCCTGTCGTGTTGTGCTGAAAAGTGCCAAATAACGATCCTCATTCGTCGTCGTGAATCTTGGTTGATCTTGTCCAGATCTCAATATGAATCCAGGAACCTGAAACTGTTTCCACAAATTGCAGACAACACTGGGCATTACAATAAGCTCTGCCACCAATGGCACTTGTGATTGGCCTGCCTCCAATCTACCAAAAATTCTCCATCTCATTCTGTCATGACCAGGACTTCAGCAATTCAGGATTTCAAAAACTTCTCGATTTGGGATCATAATTTTAAATCTCAAAGATAACCTGTACACATGGCAGCACTGGGGCTTAACTTATTGTTTAAATCATATAGAAGAATGCTTAATTCCAACAGCACCCGCACCAGAGCCTGTGCTTCTGTGGCAGCAAAAAGTTCAGAATTTAGAAGAGCACTCAGCAACAAAAATCAGCGATGGCAAAAATTTCAGAAATTAGGAGAGGAACTGGGCAGCAGAATTTAGGACCACAGGGAGAGCCCTGGGAAGCAAAATGCGTAGCATTAGCTCATTCCCCACTCAAGGGACAAAACTGTGATTCTGATTAATACTGGCTATCATCCAACTCCTAGCAGGTGTTTGAAAGTGATATACGGTATTGCAACTAATGAGAAGAATAGCATTTACAGTGTATCTGCTCATTTTGAGAATTATATTTTCCAAACCTAGATTTTATAAGAGCAAGATTTTTTTTTCATTATTTTATTTATTTATTTACTTATTTAGTTGGTGGTCCAAGAGATCCAGAGGTCATTGTTGGATATCCAGATTTTGGACTTTGTACTATATTAATTTTTTCAAATGTCTTTTATTATAATAAATGTATGTGCATTTGCAATTGCATTTATATATTCCTAACTTGTGAGATTAATTCTGAGTAAAGGCACTTTTATTCAATTTCTAATTCCTATAAAAAATAACTGATATCAACGCACATTACAAGAATAATAAAATTATTTACTCAAAATAAAAAAATGACTTTTTAAAACAGAAAAGTATCTTTTTCTCGCTGGTCTGCATAAATGTTATTAAGCTTATTTCTAGTTTAAAAATCTTAACATACAAATGAAAGAAGTGAACCTATAAGTGAATTCTGATGATTAATCATTTAGTGCAACTAAAAGCTTTTTGTTATGAATTTTGTGTAACATGAAAAGTCTGAAGAGAGTGAAGCTCAGAAAAATAAGGTTACAATGGAAAGTCTACGAAGCTATGAGACATGAACTTCCCTGCAGAATCCACTTGACTGTTTGATATGAAAGTTCGCTACCACTGATCCATTAAAAGGTGGCAGATATCTCGTCAAAGTTGCACCATTCCTGTAGAATTCTGAGCCACACTTCTGCAGCTCTTATGATAAAAAAAATTCGTCAATCTCTACGCAAAATCCACTAAATAGTTACTGCTGTGGAAGTATTCAATTCAATTCATTTTTGAAATTTACAAAAAAGCCTTTTAACAATTTCTACCATTTTGCTACGTTTTCTGATTTTAATGGAATTTATTTAAAATGCTACAAACTTCCAACAGTTTATTCCAATATATTACAATATATTATTGTATACAGTCAAAAGTCGTTAATTCGGACACCCATAATCCGGATCTCAAAGCTACAAACTTTCTGCTCATGCATCAATGCGCATAAGACCTTTACGGCTGCGAATATGCGTGTGCGCATGCGCAAAATACGTTTACGAATGCATGTATAATGTATAACGGACGGTATAAGCTAAGCTAAAATTATCTAATTCAGTTAATGTTGAAGATTGCATTGTTCCTTAATCTTCGAATTGGATCCGGCTTATTATTTTTTGCAGACTGTTAGAGCAATTTTATAAAAGTAAGCTTGAACTTTCGATTATGTCAAATAGAATTTCTGATATATATTTACTAATATGTAAAGGATCTATAAAGCGAAAGTATTTCGAAGTCCATTAAACAAAAAGTGGATTTGCTGCAAAAAATGGATAAAGGCATATCCTTTGTTTATCTAATCATTCCGAAATCTGTTTATCAATTTCAGGCTGCTCTGCGTGTGTGGGGGGCGGGTAAATGTCGCGGCACGCAATGAACTGGAAGTTGATCTGTCAGCAGTATCCTTACCTTCAGGGCAGATGTTTTTATTTTATTTGGCTTATAATTCCTTACTAAATGTAGTATTTCATCTTGATGTACTCCGTCTTTGATATGATTTAAATCAAATTCCTTGCCATTATAATTCGCTTCGATCAAAGAAAGTGACACACAGGTATTGAAAATGAAAAAATTTCAATTGACAAATTACTCAGTATTCTCAGTATTCTCAGCACGCAATGAACTGGAAGTTGATCTGTCAGCAGTATCCTTACCTTCAGGGCAGATGTTTTTATTTTATTTGGCTTATAATTCCTTACTAAATGTAGTATTTCATCTTGATGTACTCCGTCTTTGATATGATTTAAATCAAATTCCTTGCCATTATAATTCGCTTCCGATAGCGAAGAAAGTGACACACAGGTTATTGAAAATGAAAAAATTTCGATTGACAAATTACTCAGTATTCTCGACACAGCAATTATAGGACTTGAACAGAGGAACTTTGTAACTGAACAAGAAATTATGTCTATTTATAGAATTAAAGAGAAAGTATTATCACATAAAAAACGAAGCAACTTAAACAACTTACATTGAAAGAAATGTTTAATAAAGTAAACAAATAAATATTAAGCTTTTTTTTTTTTTTTTTTTTTTTTTTTTTTGTAAATTTTCATACCCTTTAGATCATAATTGTTCTTTATTTCATAAATTACGGTTTCATATTTTTAATTTTATAATTTCTGCGTGCCATCTTAGCAGATTAAAACTGATGATCTATAATCTGGAAAAAAATCTAATCCGGAATCGCCGAAGTCCCGACGATATCCGGATTAACGACTTTTGACTGTATATTACAATATATTACAATATATAATTGTATATATTACAATATATCATTATATATATTACAATATATTAATACATCTATTCCAATATATATTATTGTTTACTTAAACTATGTGCAGCTGTTCTTTTCCCCATTTAACACATGTTACTTTGCTTGACCAGCAGTAAATGAACTTAAATGCAATCACGAATGTGATTCTAAAGAACTTGAACTCCCCCCCCCAAATGCAAGCAAAAAATGCAGCAGTAACAGTCAATTTATATCTTCATTCATAAGAACAAAAGGTGGCTTATCAAGAAACAATCGAGGTCACATTACACAAAAGTGCACATGTTTTAAATCTGTTGTGATGTTATGTTCACCCATAATCGGCACTAAATCACACTGCTCGATGATAGTTTCATAGTCAACAGGATAATAAATAAAAGCCTAAATTTTAATGCATTAGAATTAAATATATTATTAGCTTATTAGGCATATACATGTAACAAAAACAAAGTCAGAAAACAAAGTCCGGCTCTGTTGTAATAGATTCTGAAGTAGAATGTAGGCAAGTTGATTCCATAATGAACAGCAAGGAATTTGATGGCATAGAAGTGTTGATATATAATGAATAGGAAATTAGAAGTGAAGGCACATTAAATCTTAATTTTTTATTTCAGCAAACATGTTGTGACCACAAACAAGTTGGCACATTAACCCCTTAACTGCTGTGGAAAATGTACAAGATTCATTTCCCAGCCATGGTTTTTCACACAGGCGCAAGTTGTTATGTGATATATTGGAGGGAAAATAAGTGCAAGTTTTACTTTCACAAAATAAAGGATAAAAGAAAAAAATGAATGCACAAAATTTAATATTTGAGTAAAAGTATAATAGAAAGATGTAAGTATAATAAAAATGATCCCTAAAATGGAATTTCGATCTATTCATTTTTAGACCAGTAAAGTGTAATCTCAGGTTCCAGTGTTATACCTTGTGAAATCAGTATGTCTAAAAAAACACATATTCCTTCTGAACTGGTTGAATGCCCCGATTTTGTACTTGATTTTTCGTTTGCGAGGTGTTGGTTCATATACTCGTCTACAAAACGGTTAGTTTCAGTAACAATATGAAGCACAAGCAGTTCATCAAAAAATAATTCAAAAAAGATAAATGGGTTTGAAACATCCATTATATCTTTCTTTATTCCTGGAACCTATTACAAAAAGTAAACGAAAACAGAGGACACAGATTAAAAAAAAATACCTTTTACTCAAACAACACCAGCCAATACCGCACAGTCATTACTTTCATGACAAACATCCCCCTCTTTGAAATAGTATCCTCCTTTGCATACTTTGTCAAGGTCATTGTGGTGTTGCATTCCAAAGCTTCACGAATTTTATGGGTAGCAGCGTAAAGTAAATGATAGTATTTTGGAAGGGCGTATATATATATGTCCGTGGCAGTTAACACTCGGCTGAGCAAGGCATATATATACGCCCACGGCAGTTAAGGGGTTAAATGTGCCTATTCCAAAAAAGTTTACAATTCAGATAAATTTGCAGCAAGAAAGAAGGAGCAGACACACTGCAATCCAGCCAAGCCAAAGCATAGGAAGTAAGTGCATTATGTTCAAGATGAAATCTTAATTTAGACTGAGTTAATTTTGGTTCTCAAAGCATTTTGATTGGGTAGTTAATATTATTATTGGTTGCTTGAGTTTTAGTTCCATTTACATCACCAGAATTATGTAAGAGTCATATGGCATGGATTAATCTAAAAATGACCAAGAGCAGATAGAGGTAACTATTTTTAGAATAGAGAAGGGAAATTAATTTACACTGCTAATTTAATCTTTGACATATTCTTTATTTTTCTTATGTACCCCTTCAAGGAGAAAAAAAGCCTTTTTTAAAGAAGAGACAGAGAAGTCTTTTAAAGAAAAGCGTTAAAACACTACAAAATAAAGAAAAACTTACATCATAAAAATTTTGAAAGCAATAATTTTTTTTTCTTACATACATACCAAGAATCTGTGCTTGACTAGCTATCATTGTAGGGGCTTGTGTTGTTATTATGTGTGGAGCTGAAGGAAGCTGCTTTAACTGACTTGTTGCTATCATCTGGCCAGGACATGAAGCACTTGGAGAAGGTAAAATTGGAGACTTTGGGTGAAGAGTGGCAGGTTGGGAAATCAACTATCCAAAAATACAGATAAAAGTAAATAATACAAACACATACTTATCTTCCCACATTTTATATTAGAAAAGCAGAAAAGAAAAAAAATGTTTGTCGTGTGGCTCAGCTGATCTAAAGAGGTTCTTAATTTTTAGTTCATTTTTTTGCTCTTCTGGCATACTTATTCACAAAGTCTATATGAACTGTTAACACATAAAAATAATAACTTGATATTTGAAAACAGTGGCAAATATCAAAATGTTTAATTTAATTATTTTTTGTTTTGAAGCTGAGAACAGCAATTTAAAATGGAATCCTTATTTATAAGACATAACACATCATTCAATAAGTCTTGGGACTAACAAAGAAAACAACATCCATTTCACAAAATTCACATTTATTCATGAACATAATCACCATCAAGAGCTATGCAATCATTCCAACGCTTTTCTAACTTTTCGATACCATGTTTGTAAAACGATTTGTCCTTGTCCGCAAAATAAGCTTCAGTGGCAGTGATGACTTCCTAATTCGAGCCAAATTTTTTTCCCTGGAGCATCTTTTTGATATCAGAAAACAAGCAGTAATCGCTGGGGTCTCGATCTGAGAAGTATGGTGGGTGGGAAAGCAGAGTGAAGACCAACTTGTTCCGTGTAACCAGCGTTTGCATTGACTTGTGGCACAGGGCATTGTTTTGATGGATTTTTTCTTCTTCATGTGTGGTCTTTTTTTGCGATTTTGTCCTTCAGACACACCAATAACTCACTGTAATAAGCACTATTGATATATTTTCCCTTTTCAAGGTAGTTGATGCAAATTATACCTCATGCATCCCAAAACACTGACGCCATGACTTTTTGTTTTGTAGCTGAGAACAGCAATTTAAAATGGAATCCTTATTTATAAGACATAACACATCGTTCAATAAGTCTCGGGACTAACAAAGAAAACAACATCCATGCCAGCTGACTGTTGCATTTTTGGACGCTTCGGATGACTTTCACTGGCTGCACGCCATTCAGCTGACTGCCACTTTGACTCCAGGGAGAAATAGTGGATCCATGTTTCTTCCATTGTCACATACCGACACAAGAAATCCTGTTTATTGCGAGTAAACATTGACAAACAGCTCTGTGAATCGTCGACGCGTTGTTGCTTTTGTTCCATTGTAAGCACACGTGGCACTCATTTGGAAAACACTTTTTTATGTAAAATTGTACACACACTTCCAGTTGATGTGCTTACCATCTCCGCAATCTAACGAACTTTCACTTTGTAGACATTCATCATGATTTCCAACACTGGTTTCTCATTTTGCAAAGTAACTGCTTCATTTGGCCTACCCAAGCATGCCACATCATTTGTATCCGTGTGACCATGTTGAAATCAGCGTACTTTTAATGGCAAATGGTTGTTTTCAATGGAGCAGAATTTGGGTAACATTTTCAAGCCATTGCTGAGCTTGCACGGTATTTTTTCTCATTAAATAGCAATGTTTGATCAACACTCGAAATTTGTTTTTCTCCATTTTGTCCACAAATGCACAAGTAGTGTCACTTTCACCATAGCAGCTTCGCTGTTTCCAGTCTGAATGCCATGAAAATACGAAGCGTGGCATTTGAAGGTTAGTTCTTTCGAACAATGAAGTCAAGTTGATATTACTAACACCATCTGTTGGTTATTCCCAGGACTTATTGAATGATGTGTTATTTCAGAAAATGGTAAGATATTATTTTCAAATATTAAACACTGTGAATTTCAGGATTCCAATAATGTGCTCAGTATGATGTTATAATTATTACTGTGATCTAATTTTATAATTTACATTCAGCAAGCTAAATTAATATTCTGCAGGCTGTTTTGAAGTTAGTTTTAAGATATTATGAAATAAATAAGCTTTAACGCATGAATTGCCTGCTTTAGTTATTGTTTACTTTAGTTATTATTTATAGTTATTTTAGTTATTTTCAACATTATCAGGGACATCAGCAACTTGGAAAAGTTCATGCGTTCACTTCTCAGAACATTAGAACAACAGAAAATACCTAACTCTGCTTCTATGTGGGCAGATATGGCATATAATCGAAGGACTTGACTGCACTACCACCCACAGGCACCACATAGGCATTTCAAGTGATCCTATTTGCCCATTTTGTAATTCTGCAGAAGAAATGGACAAGGACCACCTGCTTTGATGTGGGGCTCTTCATGGTCTTGCAGAAGAGTCGAGATACTGTGAGACGAGAGCGCTCCTTGGGCAATGACTTTTTGTTCTTTGTTCTATAGTTTGTAACCTCTGTTTGTAAGATTTTAGTTCTTTGTAACTTGCCTAGCCATTAGAAATTAAAAAAAAGTTTCTATGTGGCAGACAGGCAAAAGAAGTTAGTGTTTAAAAACAGTGCAGTATACATAAAAAATAAACGAAGATTGGATGCAGACATGAGCATTCAATACAAATATAGCAAAGCATCATTAATGCAGTTTTCATTTCTGTGCCTTTTACTTTTCATCTCTATCTTGATTAATTCCTGTTTATATAATTCGTAAAATAGTTCCTTTATACAATATACAACTTCGATTATATGCTATTTTTTGCCTTGACTATTTAATGGCATTCTTTTTATAGCTCAAATATTTTTATGGAATTAATTTTCGTAATTTCTCTTTCAGTAGCATTTGGAAGTTGCACATAAGGAGATGAGGGTGGAAGCCATGATTATACGGAACATATCAGACTGGTACAGAGCTTGAAATTTGGCCAGTGGATGGAAAGAAAATCACTCAGAAGGATAGTATAGAAAACAAGATCACACAGTTTTATCGACCAAAATGTTTGATTTCTACAATTCTTTGTAAATACATTTTAATATTACTCTTTTGTACAGTTCTCTAAATCTGGCTTGTTGCTAAATTGTCAAGAAAATGGGAAGCATTTTATAGACAACATCTTGCGGAGATTTTTTATTCAATGCTGCACATTAAACATTCCAGTGAATAGGACAAGGAAAAAGAAACAGCATTGCAATTAAATGTGAAAAATGGTTGCTTTTCAAATGGGTGGCTGCATAAATTTGAACCATGATAAGCAATCTCATGTTATGTCATACGTGAAAAATCCAAATATGAGCTGTGAAACTGAATCTCTGGTAGATTGGTTCAAAAACTAATCCAACAAGATGAATGGACATCAGCTGAAAGATAATTTTTAGTGTTCATGAAACCTCTCCTTCCAAATTCATGAAAAGAGAAAATTCAATTTCCCTTTGAAGACATGAAAAAGATATGACAGGAAAGCCATAGAAACCAAGACATTTCAAAAGTGTAGAGAAGAACAAAAAAATTTTTTTTCTTTTCATTGATTAATGTATGTCCCATCTGAAACCAACTGGCATTACAAAGACTTTAACCTTCGTTGTAACAGTGCAACGACCCCTTTAGACCTGAACATAACAAAAAAATTGTAAAACATTCTGAAAAAAGAAAACTAATTAAATCAGCCTTTAAGCACATAAAAAGAAATATTCAGAGAAAGATACACATATCAGAAGCTAAAAAATTATCTTTTGCATAGGAGTTAAAAAAAAATCAAAAGTGATTGGAATTGTTCCATGAAAGAAGAGTTTAAAAAATCCAGAATCACGTAAAACTGTTGATAGCTAAAATGATAATGATTGGAAAGATGAATGAAGAAAGCTGGAATCTTCTGGAAGCAGGCTTTATTTTGAGGAATGTGAAAACTGTAATGTGTCAAAACCATACACATGTGGAGAAATGTGGGTAGGAACTGAAAATAAATTTTAAGGTGAATATTTAATTAACATAGACAAAGAAGTAAATGAAGAATGAGTCCCATCATTTTTTCCAAACACAAAGCATTGCATTAAATACACTCAAAAAGTTCTTTGTCATGATAAATAAAACTTCAGGCTCAAAATCAAATTCGATGTTAGATTGCACTTAAAAGATTTATCCTTAAAAATCAGCCCCTATGTTAAAATCTTTCTAAAAGATATTCTTTAATCAAGATGGGCAAATGAAAAAATTCCAGCCTTTTCATATTTCTGTTAAATGATATAAATTTTTATGATCATAGAAATAAAATATTTTACCTTTTCAAAAATATGGATAATATGGAGGGTTTCTGTTGTAAGTAGAAACTAGAATTTTGCAGACCCTGCTAGGCTAATACAGAGTTATCACTATGTATCAAACAACTCACAAAATACTGAAAAAAGGGTGAAATAACCTTTTTATTTAGTGTAAAATTGAACAAAACAGAAAATACTTGTGCTACCAATGAAACTTCCATTACTTGTGAATATTTAAATTAGCATAATTAATTTCGTACGTAGAAACATTGTCCAGTACTACACATAAAATAAGACTAATTTAAGCTAGCTTCACATATTTTAACAATATGTATTTTAAAACATCTGCTACCAACACCCTAAAGCTAGGATATAAATTTTAAACACACCTGGCGAGAATATTAACAGCAAAATGTGGTTATCAGAAGCTCGAAATTAAGGATTCAAAACTCTCAGCTTAAACCTAAGTTTCATTCTGGTGAGGAATATGGAAAGGAGAAGTTACAGTTAACACTTAAATCATAATGACTGGTTAATTAACAAAAGATAGATTACAGTATTTTATACAAACTAAAATCAGGAAGATAAATTTTGTATAATATCAGTAGCATAATAAAACATTAAAATTCTGCAGGTAAAATGTGAGAATAACATAATTAACTTAAATAATTATTTTGGACTGTATGTCTTGAAATTAATACGAAGTCTTTGAAATTAACATAAAGAGCACTTTTTTAACATAAAGAGCACTTGTAGTAGTTTGTTTTTGAACAAATAATATCAAAAGCTTTATTTATTCATGTTTATAATTTTTATTAAACATTTTAATTTTATAAAAATAACAATATAAAACTTCTCATATGAAATGCTTTAAATCAAACTTGTCTAAGTTCCATGTTATGAAAATGAGCCTACACTGAATATTTTATTTATGTAGCATTTTAACCATTAAAATAATTAAAAGTGTAAATACGACTAAATAAAAAGATTAAATCATATATACATACAGTCTCTTAATCTCTTGATTATGAAAAGCACATTTTATTCTCATTCATTATTTTTCTCTTACAGCTTTTACTATCTATTTTATGCATTCCCACTGCTACTTGCATTAATGATCAGAAGGTCTTACATATTGTTTCTAAATCACAAAGGAAATGCTTGAGTAAAATAACAAACAAAGCAAGGAAATTAACATTAAGGGAATAGGTGTTAATATCAATAATTAGATGTTTACATAGCAATGCCTCTCTCTCTCTCTTTTTTTTTTTTTTTTTCCTAACCTCCAATATTTTTTGTTATTATCCAACTCAGCAGCTTCTTAATTGTTTATATTAAATTCGAATTTTTTTTAACAACAAAGGAAATTTGCAGATTTAGAATTAAACCTTTCTCTGCAAATAAATATTACAGAAATTTTCCAACATTTTTCCAATCTCTATTTTAACATTTTATATTTCAGACTTCAGAAATGAAAGATTTTTTCTTTTCTTTCCATTTACACTTTTTTATACCAAAAAATTAAGTTTACTTAATTTAAAAATTTTAAAATCAATAAATAAAAGTACCAATACAAAGGGAAAAAAGTATTATTCAGACATATTTATACTACAGATAAACAGTTTTGGAATTCCCTGATTTTTTTACATAGTCATGAGAACATTACCTTGATATACATCTGCTTTGAAATACATCCAACTTAATTGGTTGAGAGCGGCCATTGAAAGAAAATGTGCCAAAATAGCAATTGAAATGATTAGAAGCACTTTGAATTCAATCAGTGAGCATTATTAGCTGTGCATGGACCACAATGGCCAACAATTTGAACATTTTCAATAATTGTCTGGTTTAAGAGTGGTGTCATTTTATTTGGATATTCTGTATATACTTCACCGATTGGAAAAGTTTATTTTGGCATTCATCCCAGGATCTGAAATGGATTAATGACCTTCAAGGTACCACTGTAGTTCACAAATACATAACAATGAAATAAATCAGTCAGAAAATGTATGTCTGACAATTAATTCAGTCAGTGAATATTAATTCAGCATTGAAGTAAATTTATTGTTTTTAATAGTATTAGATTAGCAAATAAAATCAAAGAAAAAATTATTGCTATAACAAAAATAACAAGAAACATTATTGAAAATCACTTACATAAGATTTTCCTTTTTGCCCTTCTAATGCCTTCGCCTGATGGGATAATACTGATGATGGATTAGAAAGAAGCTGACCAATCACAACTGTTTGGTTGGCTGATGTAGCCGGTATAAAACTGGACTGCCCCTGAATTACAGTTGATTTTGATGATGCAGCCAACATCTGCCCCTGAACACAAGCCTTTGCCCCTGTAGTCATCTGACTACCAGCTGGAATAAGATTTGGTGTGCCAAAACTTCCAACCTGTGGAATAATTAATGGCAATGTTCAAATTGAGATCTCCTAATAAGAATATACAAATAAATTTGCAAGTATGGATGTAATCCAGGTTGCCTCATCTCAGCCACATGTCATTTAATCTTCAGATTTACAAGGTGTGACACAAAAGAAACGAGACTGGTCCAATAAATAATTGTACTTACAGAATCAGTTCTCTGTGAAATTATCACCTTCAAAGTAGTTCCCTTCAGCATTCACACACTTCTGCATTCAATGCTGCCATTGCTGGTAAGAGTTCTGGAACGTGGCTTTTGGAAGGCCTTTCCGGAGATTCTCCGTTTTTGTCTGAACCTCTTCAGCTGAGGTAAAATGGGTTGCCTTCAAGTAAGATTTAACTTTAAGAAATAAAAAAAAATGTCAGATGAAGCCAAATCAGGTGAATAAGGAGGATGCCCCATCACAGTAATGGTTTTGCTGGTCAGAAGCTGCTTGACAGATAGAGCCGTGTTAGCAGGTGCATTGCCCTGGTGCAACAGCCATCCATCACTCCATAACTGTGGCCTTTTTTTTTTCCTCCTAATTTTTTCACAAAGTCTTAATACTTCAATATAGTAGTACTGATTAACAATATGACCACTGGAAACCCATTCATCATCTTCCACACTGCCCTTCCCCCCTGAAAATCGCTTATGCCATTTGAATACACGTGCACAAGACAAAAGTTCTATTTCCATAAGCCTCGGTTAACATTTGAGATGTTTCCTCCATGGCTGATTGCTTAGGTTTCACAAGAAACTTGATGTTGATTCGCTGTTCGGTTTTTACATTAGACAAATTTCCGGCAGAACGCAGTTGCATGTGTTCACTCAATGATGCAGTACTCCCCATTGGCGTGGTCGGTTAAGTTGAAACTTGCCTCATGGATAGAGGAGGTGTGTTGCATGACATCACCAAACCAGTTGCTGCTAACTCCATTCTGTTTTCAAGCTACACACTTAGTCTCTCTCTCTCTCTTTTTTTTTTTTTTTTTTTTTTTTTTTTTTTTTTTTTTTTTTTTTTTTTTTTTTTTTGTATCACACTTTATACAGTTGAACTGTATAACAAGGATGTACTAAAAAATAAGAAGTTACACTGATAAAGAAAACTTATAAATCGCATACAGGGATTTCCAAACTTTTCCTGCATTGACCCCTTTTAACCCTTTCTGTCCTAATGGGCACATACATCCCAGAGATTAGATTTCATTCCCTATTGGGTAAATAAAACACACTTTTAAATGGGTTTTTACATTTGAAGCATTTTTAAGGAATTTGGGAACAAATATATGAGTAAAGAAACCTGGCCTATTTGCCAAATGTGTAAGGTTGCACTTTTTAAAGACTGCTTTATGCCATATCATACTTAACTTGTACTGTAAGAATAAAATATTTGGTACATTTCATTTAACTTCACATGCAGTCTAGGTTATCATCACAATATCCTAGACGATCCTAGGCACATGCAGTCTAGGTTATTATCACAAAATCCCAGATGACTGGGACAAATAGTCCCAGCTGATTATACAATTGGGACATATTGTCCCAGGAGATTTCCAGGAAAGAGGGGAAGTAAAAAACTTTAAACTCATATTACTCATATTAAAATTCACTTTAAACTCATATTAAAACTTAGTATATTGACATTAAATTAAACTACTTTTTATCGTTAAATTTTAATCATGCAAAAGTTGGGTTGAAAGGGTTATTTTCTTCATCGATCCCCTTGCATTTTCCCCCCATAATATATAGCACACAACATAATCACAATACATATAAATAATGAAAAGAAAGCAATTAGACCAAGAATATGAATAAAAGTTTTTTTTTAAAAAGCTTTATTAGATCTACGCTTTATTATTTTTTATTTTATAAATATAAACAAGTTTTCAGATGCATTAATGCAATTTTTTTAATATTTGGTATAATATTGCTTATCTGTCTTAAATCACCTTGTTTGAAAATATTGAGCCTGTTTCTTGTTTTCTGAATTAAATGATTCACCTAATTAATGCCTGCTTCCACTAGGTAAAAAGAGAAAAAGGTCATTACTATTTACTATGATAACGACTTTAATTTTATTATATGATGGATGACTTTTAAGGTCCAAAAGTTAACATACCCACATGTTTTGAATAATACTTGACTTTGTAGCATACAGCTGTACATCAATAAACAATTAATTATCAATTTTATTAATAACGTTTTGGCCAACAGTAAAATCGTGGTTATGCTGGCCAATGCATTATTTGGCTGTTGATCACCATTCTGCCCCTTGTTTATTACTGATCTTAGTCAAAATTTCATCAACTACCATGGTGGAGGGGGCAATATTGACAGTAATACTGTACATATACTATGTCAATATACATAACAATTTTAATTTGTCTGTCTGTTTCAGGTATACAGTCAGAACAGTTAATAAGTGAACTTGAAAGAATGCATTGGCTTATGAAATATTCTGCGATGATTGTTTGCTGTGTAACATTATTCAAACAAGACAAATATAAGATTAACATGAAAAAAAGAAAGGGGGAAAAAAAAAACTGAAAGAATTTATATTTCGAAGTTGCACTAAAGGATCTGTTAAGATTTTTTCATCTCATTGAGCTCCCACCTTATCTACTTGCTCTTGGATATAACTCCAGCTGACACAACTCCTTTTGTCTTTTTAACTTTATTGTTAAACATTACTTTCTTCAGGCTTACATCACACAAAATTCAACAAAATCACAAAATTCTTTAAATTTTTTTAATTAAATATCACTTTCTTTAACATGTGCTGAATAAAATTCAATAGCAACATCACAAAATATTTAAAAACAGCATACCTTTAGAATTCTAATATAATATTAACACTTAATGAAAAGCTTTTTCTACTGCAATGGTCAATAATTTAAATATATATATATTATGTACATTTAAATTTGTACATTTTCTTGCACCTTATTTTATAAATAGCTTTTAATTTTTCAACTTCTATTTCATTAATTTTTCAAAGATTGCAGTGTTTATTATGTTTATCACGATTACTTTGAATTCTATTTAATAAATATGGCAAAGATTAAATTTTGTTTATTGTGTTTTTAAAAATAGCTTTGAATTTACATGCATTAAAGCGAGGGTGTCGGGACAATTTACTCAAGTAAAATATAAAAAATTTTTGCTACTTCTTAATCTAGCAGAGAAATTTTATTACTATTACTCAATTTGGCAATCATATCTCAAGATTTATCAAAAATTCATTAACTTTATGGAAAAAAATTCAAAATGAATTCTTTATAGTTTCAAAATGAATTCTTTATAGTACTTCCCTTTAACTCATCTCACTTTAATCTCATTGATTTGGATTAAAACTCCACCCACAAGTTTGGCTTAAACTCAAATTGACAGTTTGGCATTATACTTCTTACTTGAGTAAAAGGTGAAACACCTTCGCATTTATTAATTATTGTTAACTGAATGGGAGTTGGTTTCTTCCCGTTGAAAAGTCAACCAATTTCCGATCAATGATGATAATTACTTAGTTTATTAATTTTCAATTTAAAAGTTTCCGTTTTTATATTTCATGATTCAAATAAAATTTACCTTTAAAAATACTACTAGGAAATAATATATTAGTTTAGTAAATAAATTATTATATATATACAAAAACAATTTTTAAAAACAAAATATAATCATGTCTAGCATTTTCGAGAATTAAGCTGCTGAAAAATTATCAGTAAAAACATAAAGTAAGAAATTTAGAACCAATTTTTCACAAAGACCAAAAATTGAAATTCGTAAGTAATAAATTTCAAATAATTTTATAAATGCAATACAGAGTTTAATGAATGTTAAAACCAAAACTTTTCAAACAAACAATACCCCAATTAAAAAAAAATCAATGAAATTTAAAGAAAAAAGAACATAATAGAAGAGGAATTCAATCAACCTCAATGCTACTATAGTTTAAACAAAGCAAATGCAAAGTTTAAAACCAGAATTATGGAAGACGATATGATATAGATAATTCTGGAAATTTCCCGATGTACTATGCCTATGACGTTGCTTTGTGCCCGATATTATTGGTTTAAGAAAGAAAATACATTAATCATAGCTATAGAAATCCTGCTGCAAAAACTGATAAACAAGAAGAAAAAGATTTAATGACACTAAAAAAATAGAAAGCTAAATTAATGATTAATTAATATTAATCTAAACCCTGCCATTGTTAGTTTGTCACAAATTTATAACTGTTGGATTTAATTCTGTACTTCACAACATAATATAAGGCATTTTCACATTATGTCATCTGGACAACTGTATGATATGTTATAAAGGCATCAACACCCTTAGGCAAGTAGGCAACTATTTGCCAAGATTAAGACCTTCACACTGTCCCAGCAGCTTTTATGAATGTTGCTTTTTTCATGATACTAAACTTTCAGAATGGTGCTGGCATACTTGTGACTTCAGAATGGCGCTGGCTTTCAGAATGACTTGAGACACAGTGGTGCCCTGACATGACTTTCCACTTGAAAAGGGTGTCAGCAATACTGATAATAAACTGCCGGCCATCCAAATGCAAATTAAAATTGGCTGCCCCTTTTTACAGAAATATAATATGTTTGATAATCATTTTGCTGCCAGTGAATCTGGCCATTTCTACCTTCAAACAATGTCCCATTCCCAAAATTGTATGTGAAACATTATGTTGAAAAAAAATTACATTAAAGAAATGGCAAGCTGAATGGGAAAATCAAGAAGTAATTAAAAGGCTTTTTAACTTCTACAAAAAACTTACATATGATCCAGTCTGATATAACTTCTTCATTGGTATCTTTTTATCCGGACATGGTCCTTTCCCCATGTACTATTTTGCATGAAATCTGAGCGATTCAGACAAGTGTGTATGTGGGGAAAAAGCACTATATCTTCTCAGAGGCATTATACATTCCAGAGCACTATATCTTGAAGTGCCAGCTCACAAAAGAGCTACACTACGAAAGAGCTATGATCCC